ACGTTTTATATATCCAAAGCCATAAGATGGCAGTGTTTTTTGCAGAATCTTCTCCCTGATTGAGCTTGGCATCTCTTCCCTTTGCCAGTCCCTTTCTTCAGTTTCTCTCTGAATTTGGAATAAATTCTGCCTGTCTTTTGTTGACAGTTGGCTTCGGAAACCAGATTGTCTATGCACTGAGAAGGCTGGGTGGGTTGGTGGGAAATCTGTACGGGAATATTTGAACCTCGCGGTGGAAAAAATTCTCCGCTTTGCACAGACTTCCATTTCCAGCTGTGCTAGTTACCAGCGAAGATACAAATGTCTTAAAAGCTGTGGTTTTCCTCTCTGCCCATTCCAGGAAGACCTGAACTCTTCTGGAACAATTTTCATTCTCCTCCCTTTTGGGGTTCTTGGAAGATGATACCAGCTCCTGATTGCTTCTGCCTGGAGACAGATGTTTTGTGACTTAAAAACTATCTGTTTTTGAATGGTTGTCTTCTAGGATTTCTATGGGTGATGTCAACTCCTCCCATGAGTACAAAATGGGCAGGAGAAAATGGCTAATCTGGGTAGAGCTGCCACTTCCAATTCTTTTCTCCATGTTCCCTCTGTATGATAATGCACTAGACCAGTGGTTCTTAACCTATGGGGAGGGAACCATGATGTCATCATAGGGGGTTCATGAAGGCTTGAAGAAATGTTACGATTTAAATATTTAAGTCTTGGGGATCCATGGCCATGACCACAAAAGGTATTTAAATGTGAAGAAAAGATTGAGAACCACTGCATTAGACTAACCAGAAGGATGAAAAAAATCTGGCAGGACAGGATCTCAAGCCAATGATGAAGCAGACTTGCTGAGGTTTTAAGCAGGTTATGATCTGGTTAGATAGCCACCTAGGAACTCGTGCCTGAGCTTTCTAGACGTCTAAGAGGACATGAATAAAGTTTTAAGATATAGTTCTCCAAGGAATATCTGAAATGTGCTCAGTTTTATCCTGTTGATAGTTTAACAACTATGTAGGAAAATAATCTATGTGCAAGAAGCGGATCTCTCCAACGTATGACTTATAAGCCCACACTCCTTTTGTATTTCAAGTCTGAGAACATTACTAAAGCCTTTTTCAAACCTGGCACCTTGTAGGTCCATGTTACCTCCTTAATTGCTGTATTTGTGGTCTAGGTTTGGCAACATACACAATAATTCCACACACAAGAGTTAATGTGGAAGATTAATGGTTGTTAGGTAACACCTTCCTTCGAGAAATTTTTTTTTTTCTGTGATCGAAAGGGCACATCCAAAGATTTGGTAATGTTTGAAGCATGGGCTCTTAGATCTAGCTGGTGTTCTGTAGCACCATGACATTGTTGTGCCTATTGACTGACCATTACATTAAAATGTTATTTTCAGTGCAGGATTTATTGCAGCAGATTTGCCTTATTTATTTTTATAATTGTAAATGAAAATATTAAAAAAAAAAATATGATTCCATGTTTGTTTGCCTGTCTTTGTATAGGTATACCCGCATCCAAAGGATTTATTGTAGAATTACGTGCATCAGCATTTCTTTTTTCTTGCAGTTTTATTACATGCCAAATCTGGAAGCAGCAAGTGACATATCAGTTTTGGATTTGACATTTTTTTAAAAAAAGTTCTAACTTGGCCTTTTTTATAAAATAAAAAATAAAAACTGCTTCCCGTTATAATGTAGCTATTATGTGATAGTTGCTTGAATCAAAACTGTGTGATTCTGAAGGTTAAAATTTTAAAACAGCATGCTTCCATCAAAATTTTGTCTATTCTTATATTTCAAGACAAACCAGCAGAAAAGGGAGTGACTTAAAAAAATAATCTAGATTTTGATTTAAACAGTAATTAATGCCTGAGTAAGCTTTTTTGATTTATTAGACCTCTTCATCAACTAATTAATTAAGGATGTGAGAAAACAGTGGAGATTGTTGCTGAATTGACCTGTCCCTGCTATGTCAGTTGCTTTCTTGAGTGAGAGAAGCACTGCACAGAATGAAAGTGAATATTAACAGATACTGAACAGGTATTCAACTGGGATTGAATTACTGCAAAGATGTTGGAAGACAGCGGCCAAAAGCTTTTGATGGTGCAGCTAGCAGCCCAAATCCATATTTTTCCCATGTTATAAAGGTCCCTTGGTAGTAGAAAAGTGACTAGGAGTCAACCAAGTAAAATCTATATTCATTTGTCGTATATTTATCAGGAGAGATGAGAAGTCATGGCAGTGATCATATTCACTGATGCTGTTGTTATGCCAGACTTTGAGAGAAGAGCCTATGGGGAAAATAATCTAAATGTTCTTGGACTGTTCTTGAATAGTCACCCATTGTTAGGATACTAAGCCTGCCTTTGTTCACCACATTATAAAAAAGATGTTGAGACTCTAGAACAGGGGTGGGCAAACTACGGCCCGCGGGCCACATCCGGCCCGTTGGTCTTTTTAATCCGGCCCACCAAAGATTGGTCCGTATGTAACCGCGGCCACTTTTCAGCTGCTTTCAGACGCGACGAGAGGATGCGGTTGAGGCGGAGGGCGGACGGCGGAGAGCGAGCAGGGCGCCTGGCGGGCTTGTCAGGCAAAGCAGGAAACGGGGGCAGGAGCCAGCGGAGCGAAGAGAGCTGAAATCTGTTGAGGTCTCGCCGCAGTCCCTTCGCGGGGAGAGAAGCCGCCGAGACGGGAGGAGCACGGGATGCTGCCGGCTCGCTTCCCCACCCCTCCGTCATGACTGCCGGAGAAGGATCCCCGAGCGCTGCCCTTGCGGCCGCCACCGATGGAACCCCGCTTGATTTTGCCTGAGCTGCGTTTGATTTGGAAGGGGACGCGGGAGGCGGCGCCAAAGGAGCGCTCTGGGGTTCGGCCAACCGCCCGCTGAGCAGCTCCGGACTCCCCACCGTGGCCAGCAGACCTTGGGGCTGCGCTCCGGAACCCAGCGCCACGGGACGGCGAAGCCAAGCGGCGGGAAGAGGCGCGTCGAAGCTGCAGCGGCCGGCTCAGATCTCTTAGTCCCGGGGAATCCCCCTCCACCGAGGCTCAGGCGCCTTGGTGGAGGGGGATTCCCCGGGACCAAGAGGTCTGAGCCGGCCGCTGCAGCTTCGACGTGCCTCTTCCCGCTGCTCGGCTCAGGCAGAGCCCCGAGCACCGCTGGCGGCGAGTAGCACGAGAAGCGCAACGGGGCCATGGGAAGAGCTGCGCCCCAAGGAGCGACTGGCGGCCGGAGCGGCCAGGACTGGCAGTGGCGGTGAGGGCCTGACCTGCGCGGGGGGGGGCTGGGGCGGTTTTCTCCCACACCTGGCTTCGGAGCGGCCTGCGGTGCACTCTTGGACATCTGGCTCGCTGCGCCCTGGGCGCCCCTTTCCCTCGCCTCTCAGCCAGCAGCAGCAGCAGCAACAGCAGCAGCTCTGCCGCCGCCGCCTCCTTCCTCCCCTAACGCCCGCTGTTGTGATGCATATTCCCGTAGACCCGAGCACCAGCAGGCGCTTCACACCTCCCTCCACGCACGGCCTTCCCCTGGGGTAAGATGAAAGAGAAGAACACCGGCGCCCTCAGCGCGCCAGTGCCGGGACCTCGCAGCCGGACCGAGGCGCGCACGGTGGTGGACGTCCTGGCTGGGTGGAGCGGGCAGGTCCTGGGAGAGGCGCGCAGATGTTTTCTGCCGAGCGGGCTTCCCAAGCGCCCGGGAGGACTCGTGGTTTAACGGCAAAAGCGGCGGCGGGATGGGCGCTGGGCGGGCGGGGGGAAAGGCAGGCGAAAGCCCCCACACACATACACCTCGGCAAGCAGTTTGCAGGGTTAGCCAGCAGTTTCTCGCAAGAGACTGAAGGCCGGCCTGCTCCCCCCAATTAGACGTTGGTTCAAGAGGGAGGGTCAGCCCTGCTACTAATTGGTGGTTCACAGTTTATCCGTGGGCACCGGAGGAGTTATGTTTTGGGGGTGGGCGTTTATTTATTTTTTATCTTATAAGTGGCCAACTTGTGTAAACTGAGGGGGTACATTCATACATACACACACACACACACAGTCGTTTATTCGTAGCGGAAGAATCTGTCTATCTATCTATCTATCTATAATGGCCTTTTATAAAATTGGTTCGGCCCTCGAACGCAGATCTGATTTTCCATGTGGCCCCCGACAGAAATTAATTGCCCACCCCTGCTCTAGAATAAGTACAGAGAAGAGCAACCAGGATGATTAGGGGACTGGAGACTAAAACATATGAAGAATAGTTACAGGAATTGGGCTTGGCTAGTCTAGTAAAGAGGGGAGACATGATAGCAATCTTCGAATATTTGAGGGGCTACCACAGAGAGGAAGGGGTCAATCTATTTTCCAAAGCACCTGAAGGCCAGACAAGGAATAATAGATGGAAACTGAACAAGGAGAGATTTAACCTGGAAATAAGGAGAAACTTTCTGGCAGTGAACAGAAGTTGCCCTCGGAAGTTGTGGGAGCGCCATCACTTGAGACTTTCAAGAAGAGATTGGACTGCCATTTGTCAGAAATGGTGTAGGGTCTCCCGCTTGGGCATGGGGTTGGACTAGATGACCTAAAAGGTCCCTTCCAACTCTATCTGTTATCTGTTATCTTCTAAATCAGGGGTCTGCAACTTTATGATTTGTAGACTTCAACTCCCAGAATTCCTCATCCAGCTCTGCCGGCTGAGGAATTCTAGGAGTTGAAGTCCACAAGTCATAAAGTTGCCAAGGTTGGAGACCCCTGTTCTAGATCAAATAAGCAAAGTGCTCTGTAAGCAATCATAAACATGTTTGACTTAACCAAATGAGCATAGGTGTGTTTACATTTCCCAAGAGAAAATTGCAGTCTGTTGGCGGGTAGCTTAAGGAAATTTTATTTGAAGCTCAATAACACAATGGCAAAGTAGTTCCCCCACCCCTTTTGCTTTGATTTACCATTTATGTAAGTCAGATGTTGCAGTTAAATGTTTGCTTTGCAAAGGTTCCATTCTGCTTTATTTTTCACCTGGATTTGCGTCGCTTTGGATCATCTTTTGCCCCTTTTCGCCTTCAATTAGACTTGCCTGCAATACACATTGATGACAATTTTAAAGAGATACATTTTAAAATCTTCTAAACTTTTAAAATCTTTTTTCCAAATACCATTCAACATTTCAAAATTATTGTAATTGAAGTACATCATTTCGAACTTTTAATACTCGTGTGAAGTACCAACAGTTTTCTCAGCATTGTAAAGCTATTACAGCTCGGTGTTGACAGACTCAAAACAGAAACAGATGCAAAAAGGAAAGAGAAAAAGTATCAGGGAAATAAAAAGTAAATCAGGCAATCTCTGGCTGACATAATGTCCAAATTGGTCTGTCTTTTATCCAAATCCTTAGGAGGCAGGAACAAAAAGAATAAGGATTTTTCTGAGCTTTGAAAGAATCATCATTTTTTTACATTAGTCTGTAGTTGTCCCGTCATGCTCAGTGGGTACTTTGAAGAACTTTTTTTAAAAAAGGTAAAGGTTTCCATTGTCTAGTTGTGTCTGACTCTAGGGTGTGGTGCTCATCTCTCTTTCCTAGCAGAGGGAACAAGAATTGTCTGAAGACACTTCCGTGGTCATGTGGCCGGCATTACTATAGGCCAAAGATGCACAGAATTCTATTACCTTCCCTGGTGGTACCTATTTATTCACACTTGCATGCATATGAACTGGTAGGTTGTGTTCTGACCAAGGCTTCCTGAGACTGTGTAATTAAGCACATGCTTAGTCTAAACAACTCTCTTTTTATTTCAACATTGGGAATTATGTTCATTCCCAGCCCATAATGAGTCCCAAACAGTCTCTTGAGATAAGCACCCACCTTTATCTCCTTTGAATTGCTGCCAACAACTAAAGTGCCAAATTAACTGTAAAAAGCCAAATGGGGTACAAAGTCCACACACAGCTTCAAGGTTTAATCCAAACATAGCAAACAACATTGCTTCCTGCAAAGATTCCTGTCCCTTTGCTCCTCCTTTATATCTTATGGGAGAGCAATCACCTCCAAGCCTTACACACCAGCATTTAACTGCTAGGCCAACTTAGTCTTAATTAACTTAGCTAACTTAGAACTTAGACTTGGTTTTATTTTGTCTTAGTTAACTTAGCTAACTTAGAATTAGTTTTGTTTCTCCTTCTCCAAGACTAGAGGAATAGTTCAGATCAGTGGTCCACAACTATTATGGCTTAGCAGCCCGACGGGAGGGAGCGGCAACTGGCCCATGCAAGCAGGCGCTAGTGCATGTATGCACATGTGTGTCTGCCAGCCACTTGCACAAGTCAAGCTGTGCATGCATGTGTTGACCCAACATTTGCATGGCCCACCTCCGAACTAGCCACAGCCTGGTAGTGGGCCGCAGCCTGGGGGTCGGGGATCCCTAGTTTAGATCTTGGAACTTTGAGATCAACATGGTGCCCAGTGTGATAGTTAGCCCAGTATCTTAGTCATTTGAAATGGGTGGGAAAAGGTTTTTAAAGTAAAAGGCAATGGACTGCAAGAGGTGCAGTAACAGATGGTGTTTGAAGGGCTAGATAATGATATAAATGAAGTTGCCTTCATTTATGTGAAGGCCCCAAGAGAAGATTATGGTGTTGTGCATGGCAGTCGAGAGCAAAAGACAAAGGTTGAATTCATTGGAGTTGGTTTAGGTTTCTTCACGTCTTACAATATTTGCCTCCCATATGTTTACTCTGATTCCAAAGCGGAGATGCGAGCTTGTTCAAAATCATTGACAATGTTAAGTATAAACCCAGACCACTGATTTTGCCCAGAGAACTGCAGTAAAACTAACTATTGTTTAGTGAAATATATGCATTCAGCCATATTAACAGAGGAAACTTTTGTTTTTCTGGAGCAAAACAAAAGATATTTAAATTATTAAATAGCTACTGAAGGGGGAAAATGACCAAATTGCTGCAAGAAGATAATTATGAACAGTGGTCTATGAAGCCAGTCTTCTCCTGAGGCTGAAATATTTCAATCTACCTTTTTAATAAAAGATAACCTCTAATTCTCCCATACACCTTAAAAAAGATTTAATTAGCATTCTCCTTAGCAATATTCTCCTTAGCTTCGACTTACTTGCTCCATTAGCAAAACAACAAAAGGGAAAAACCTGCCAGGTCCTCTTCAAACAGAAAATATTCATAAGAGATTCAGACACGCATCCCACTATTTCACAAGAGTTTAAGAAGGGGAGGAGAATGCAACACAATCAGATTTGCAAGATTCAGTTTCTACAGTCTTATCTCAATAAAGGTAGTTTTAGCCTTCCTGGGGTGGTGATTTCCTGGTCTGATCCACCTGATGGGGATGACAGTTACATTCTGCTGTTGTTAAATCACCAGAACAGAAAATACTGCAAAGTTGAAAATAACATTTAAAAGGGGGCTCACCTGTAAGAACACCTTTCAGTCCTCTGAGTGTGAAATGCTGGCGTGGCACACGGCATTCGAAGAGCTGCAGTTCCCCAGCTTTGTCCATCTCGGTTTCAATCTGCATTGGAGAAAAAGGACTCAAGTGACAGTCTGAAATTATGGAAAGTCTGTTTTGGGTTGGAAGCTTCAGAGGCTGTGCAGTGGAATTGTTTAGTGTCTTCTCCACATTTGGAGAATAGTCAGTGAATATATACTCTGGTGCTCCAAGTACCTTCCAACAGTAGCATCTCCTGTCCTGATAAAGTTTCCAAAGGAAAGCTCACAGAAGAAAGCTGGTGTTTAGTTGCCCTATTCTAGAAACTGACCACAGAAATATTCCTAGATGGAAGCAACTGGTTCACATTGTTAGGTGCTCCCTCCAGTGATAGTTCTGATCTTTATAAATTAGTACCTGAAGCTCCCCTGATGTTCAGGGAACAGAAACATCCAAGTTTATCATGTGATGGGTCCAACCCATACAAATAAAAATAAAAATAATGGGGAAATAGGGGAGGAAAGGGGGAAGAAGAAAAAGTGTAGAGAAATGGGGAAAAGAAGGGAAAAAAGCATCGATTTCTGACTCATTTTACATAGTAGAGTAAGGTAACAACATACAACCTTGACCTTTTTACTTTCACATAATAATATATACTTGAAAAGCAGTTTTTTTCTACCTCAAGCACAAAATCCAAAAGTGGTTTCCAATTAGAAAGAAAATTAATTGTACTCTTTTCCTTAATCAAAGCAGTCAACTTAGCCACCTCTGCTAACTCCATCTACTTTTGCAGCCCCTCGTCCATTTTGGGAATCAAAGGATCCTTCCATTTTTGTGCATAAAGTATTCTTGCTGCTATCTGCATGTATAATATCAAAGTACCAGATTTTTTTTCAAGTTTTTAATCCATTAAGCCTAAAAGAAAAGTCTCTGGATTTATCTTTATATTCACTTTAAGAATCTTCTGCATTAAGATGTGGATCCTTCTCCAATATTTCTTTGCTTTGTCATAAATGGCAAAACATCGCATAATGTGGGTTGAAATGACCAAAAGCCAACTTACCTCTTGGAAGGAGTCTCTTAGGTTTTCCACATTTCTCTTCCCACCAGGTTGGAAGCCATATGACCAATGTTGGGCAAAGCAGGTTGATAAAGAGATGAGCAACAGGAAGAAGCTTATCTTCTGCATTTTATCACAATCTGGAGACCAAGAAGCTCTGCTAATGCAGAAGAAATGAAATAAAGAAAAATCTAAACACGTTTCTCTCAATAGTTATTATTGAAGATGCCAACATGCATTGTGCATATCCTATAGCTAATGTTACCTGGTTGATGGTCAAAGATGGAAGTGGTTCTTCTGAGACCTTCTTAGGTGTGGGATAATGTGCTTCCTTGCCTTATAAATATACCACTTCTCCATCCTTGACGCATTTGCCCCAGGGAGCTCCATTCATAACTGTCTCACGCTGACTGTAATTGTGGCCTTATTTAAGTCATGACGAGAAGGATTTGGATGTCCTTCCTGGCTAGCTGGTATACAAAGCTGATCTTTTCTCTTTAAAAGCCTAACAACCTTTCTTGAGTCTGGAAAATGAGTCACGGCAATTGGACTTCTTTTCTCTTTTGGTTTGAAACATTTTTGCTGCTTATCCAAGTAGCTTCTTCAGACTGGTTCAACTTCCAGACAACCCTACCTAGATGACTGAGAATCTTCATGGATAAGGTTTCCTGAGAGATGGCATGCAAACTGAGATGTGCTAAATCCAGACGGTATTAGTAGTTTAATGGGGATGCCATTTTTATGAGCAACTGGTTGGTTTCAAAGTCTTGGTTTTCTCACCTATCTATTCAGAAGACTGGGAAGGAACAATAGCTGCGGTGGTGCTTTCACAGTTGGATATCAAAAGTAGAGCCTTCGAGTCCAGGGATGCAGGAGAAAAAATTATCAGAAGCATTCTCAAAGATCCTACCATCTTCTTCTGTTCCTATCCTATAAGTGTGTTGTATTTTTATATCTGTTGCAAGATTTATACCCTACCTTTTCTCGTCCCTTTATTGTATCTCTGCAGTAATCCTGTGTGGTACATTCAGCAACGCAATGAGAGCAACTGGCTGAAAGACATCTCTTGAATTTCCATGATCAAAAATGGACCTGAACCTAAGTCTTCCCTGTCTTACTCCAACACCTTAACCACTCCACCATGTTAGATGATATCCATCTAAATAAGTTGTTAAGAAAAAGAAATAAATAGGAACCTTTGAGGACCACCAGTTCCACTTAAGATATTTTTTAATACAATGACAATGCCATAAAGATGGCAAAAACTGGTTATAGTATATTGGGGCAAAATAGGAACCAACTGGAGGCCATACAAGAACCCCTGATTGCAAGAAGAATGCTAGGGACAGTCAGCATCTTTCTGAAAGAATTGGAGGCCGATATTGAAAGGATAGATTTTGATTAAGCTAATTCATAAAAGAATGAAAGAAGATGCAAGAAGAGAGTATAACCAGAGTGACGCAGTGGTTAGAATGCAGTACAGCAGGCTAATTCTGCTGACTGCTTGCAATTTGGCAGTTCAAACCTCACCAGGATTAAAGTTGACTCAGCCTTCCGTCCTTCCGAGGTTGATAAAATGAGGGCACAAATTGTTGGGGGCAATAGGTTGGCTTTGTAAACTCATTAGAGAGGGCTGTAAAAGCACTATGAAGTGGTATGTAAGTCTAAGTGCTATTGCTATAACATTAGAAGGGTCAGGCTCAACCACTGAAGAACTGATTTTTCACATAGTGAAAAGTTCCTCACTCAAGAAAGTAAACCATTGACCAACGCAGTTAACCCCATGGCAGTGGTTTCTGCATGACTAATGCAGAACTATTTATTCCTAAATATAAAATTTATCCAGTGAGTGGCTTACGAAGCCCAGAATACCCGCTATGGAAGAGGCAGTTTATTGCAGGCCTGTATCACTAATCAGTCTGATACAATGAGAAAATTGGATGCTTCACTGAATGATGACTGATAAAAGGGAGTATTTGTAGCTCAGGGTTACATTGCAGGATCCTTGGTGCTCTATGAACTTGGTGGGTTTTTTGCAGATGTTTTACTACCGAACTAGATAACATCACCAGTGTTAGCAAAGAATGGGGTTTATTCTAACACTGGTGATATTACTTAGTTTGGGTAATGAAACGTCTGCAAGAAAACACCCAAACTCAGACAGCACCAAGGACCCCAATGAACTTAGATTTATGTAGGCTATATTTATTGATATGTACTGTATTAGAAATTAAAAGTGAGAAAAGTTAAAATATTTATTTATATGATTTTCACAGGCCATACTTTCAGAACCACTGTGATAGGCAAAACCATACTGTAAATGAGAATGCATTTATCATCAAAAGAGCAAAGTGCCATATTGAGGTTAAACTGCTTGAAGTCAGGACAGCCTCAACGCTGGTCACCTTCTAGAAGAACCTAAAGATTTAAGTCTTCCAGAAGGTGTTTGGGCCATCACGCCAGGTGTGAAATAACAAATAAATGAAAAAATAATGGAGCTATAATCAACTACTATAGGCCGTTAAGAGAATTAGCTTCTAAAATATTGTCAACCACATCTTAGATGTGAACAAGACTATTAACACTCCACGCCTGAGATTTTATAAGGGTTTACTGTAATTTACTTCAGCATTTCCCTCCTGTTTCCTCGGGGTGTTAATGGATAAGGGTAATTTGCAGAAAATATTTCATGAGGATTTGCTAAAGGTTAATGTATTTTTTCCTTCAATTTTACTGCGTTGGCAAGGACTCCTGTAGAACTCTTCCAGGGACAGTGAAAATTCAAGCTGTGAAAGCCATTTATTTGCAATTAAAAGAAAAACAGGGCTTTCGTGAGCAAGTCGGATATTTGTTGCATAATGCTCTATGTGTATTTTGGCTGAAGTGGTTGGGTGGCCGGGTGAGTTTTCCAATTATAACTCTGGCTATATTTACTAGCTTCATTCCACTGCTAAGCAGTCCTTGAGATGACATCTCAATCATACAGATTTATGTTTGCTTATATCCTGCCTTTATTATTTTTACAAATAACTCAAGGCGGAGAACACATCCAACATACTTGGATAAACTTGAACAAAATCCATTTAAAAATAACTAAAATTGAAAGAGATACTGGAAATGTTTCTTGAGAAACTGGGGTAAAAAGAATATGAAAATTTTGATTTTTTATATTGGAAGTTTGGTCTTATTTGCAAAATCAGAGGAAACTGTTGCCAAGTTTTATAATTCCAGGAACCCCATTCAACACCCTTAACTGCAAAATATCAAATTACTTTTATATCCAAGAACTAATTGATTAAGCTTCCCTACCTCAGCTTAAATAGTGTTATTTTCCAAATGCATGGACAAACGCTTGCAAGTTTCTGATGTTCTTTATTTATACCGAGTGTATTCATGATTTGATCAAGGAAGTCATGAGTCTCTTATGCATAGGTGAACATATTGTGATTAAGACATTCAACTTCAACAAAACGGACAGAACTTACACATAGAGAATTAAGAAAATAGAATTCTAAAATAGGAGATCTTATTCCTTTCTGAGATATATGTGTTTAATAGAAAGGTGAGTGGAGGAGAAATATAGCTAAATTGGCTTCTTCATCAATTTAGCATTGATCAATATCAAATCACCATAAATCTGATTTCTTCAAACTTGAAAATCCTCATTATATTCTTGCATAAATTAGTTTGGTATTCTTGAAACAATGTCCTTCTTTCTCTCCCCACGCCCCTTTTCAAAAACTTTGGTGAAATTATAAGCACCAGGGATCTGTTGTTGTGGTTATTACTGTATAATATCCTATATCCAAGCAGCCAGACCAGCCAAGTTCAAAAAAACAAAAACAAAACACCACTCCAAAGAACTAAAACAAATTCTCAACCATATGGAAGACTGAGAATTAATAATGGACACATTTGCTATTCGCTTTTCATTCAAGGGTCACAAGCGCACATTTCCTGTAAGCCAGGGGTGTCAAACTTGTGGCCCACGGGCTGGATGCATCACACATTGGCCACGCCCATCATTTTAGCAAAAGGAGGGAAAGTCGTGATACATCACATGATGTGCCAACGCAACTTTGACATCCCTACTGTAACCCTTACCAATTTAATCACCCCCCCACCCCCTTTTTTTTTTTTTTTGAAAAATTGGATGAGAGGAATCATTCAGCATGGACTGTTCAGTCAGCTTCCATTTGTGGCTTAAGTTGAAAAAGAAAGGACTAAGAGCTTATTCAGACTCCCATCGTCAGATAACAGAAGCTTTCCCCATAGCTTTTAATGCATGCCTAAATAAGGCAAAAATACCCCATGTAACCATGTCATGAAAAGCCCGTGTCTATTTCAACCTCTTGATTCTGTTTGGCTAGGGTACTCCCATGCTCCCCAACCTGATTCCCTTCATCCACAAACTAAATGAAAAACTGTATTAAGTACAAAGGATTCTTCCTACAGGCATATATCAACTGATATCCAGACCAGATGACTACAGTGTCCATGAGCCTCACCCAGCAAGGAACAGATAGGCTAATGGCTCCAAATGCAACTAGTCTATAAGTATAGATTTTAGTCCCCTAATCTTTCTAGGATGTAATTCTGGAGCCGTTATCTCATTTGTTGGAAATTTCCTTCAATTTCTACATTTCGATGTTGATTGTAGCTCTGAGTCTAAGGTAAGTGCTCACCCAGTTTCATTTATATCTGGGTGTGCACAATCTGGCTGTAGGCTCATGGGCACAGATCATTCAAATGTTCTGTATTGACCTCATAGGGAATTTGTAAGCTGTGACCCAGTTTGCGTGACTTGAGTGTTATACAAATTCTTCAATTCGGGTTGACTTACAAGCCCACAGCTTAGCATGATTTGTGGTCCCAATCATATTTTCTAAGCCCATTTAAATTGTGTTTGCTCTGGTTACTTTTAACAGGAAGATCCTCTACGTCTGTTTCTGTAACTCAGCTAGAAATGTGCTCAGGTTAAGGGTTGCATACAGCCACATGCTGCCATGGAGCTTATACGAGTTATAGTCCAAGGTGTCCAGAGAGATCAGATTCCCTAATTATATTTTAGCAGGAAAAATATAGCTGGAATCTTATTTCTGTTGCAGCTGAAACTTGTTTATCTATAAGGCCAGATTTATATAGGTGGTATTAAATTCCCTTTCCCAACAGACCCAGTGGATTGGCTAATGACAATGAATGATGAGAGCTGCAACCCAAGCATGTAACACCAGTTCCAGATTTATAGGCTGATGAAACATCAGTTTCCATTTGCAATTTTAAACAAGCCTTATTCCTTGATTCCCCCCCCCCCCAATGAAACAATGAAGGTGGTTCATGTTTTTATCTGCATAGGCACGTACAAAGGATTGGGAGTGAGGTATGGAAGGGCCTGAGCTGAATGTTTCGACAGCTTTTTGGAGACTTGGTAGAGTTATTTTTCCATTACAAAAAACCTGCAAGAGTAGTGATGGTGTGCATTAATACAGTATGTGAATTATAGGGACTTTCCTTTTTTCATAACATTTCAAAATTTTCTAGCCATCTTTTAGCTGTGTATGTTCCTAGCCCTTTATTTCCTAGTACTGACAGAAGAGATTGCTAACTGTGGGGTCCTTGGTGCTCTCTGAGCTTGGTTGTAATCTTATGGACGTTTCATTACCAAACTAGGTTTACATCACTTTGTAAAGTAACCCAAACTATTTCTGATTGTTCTCTACTTTATCCAGGTTCCCCAGGATATATCACTCAATTTTTGACCAAGAGAATTCAACGATGGGCATTATTCACTGTAATGGAAATCTGTATAGAAGAACAATTGTTGGTTCTAGTTCACAAGACTTGTAGGTCCAGTGACAATAAAACAACAACTTGGTAATTCAGGGCTCACAGGAGCCTCTGTATTACACTTGCACCTTCAATTCCTGATTATTAGACATGAGCAGCAGGTCGTAAAAATGGAGCACTGAATGTCCCCCTTTTGCAATCAAAACTTATGACACTGTTCTACGTCAAGGAACCAACACATACAGCATTCACAGTCCAACTTTTTAAAATTTGTAGTGCATAACAGGCTTAAAATAAGACTCCAAATGTATCCATGACAACTCTTTTTTAAGAAATAGAGCTATTTCTGTTTTGCCAAGAAGATTCAAATCTGGACACCTTTCGACCCTCCGTTTCCTCCCCCTCCCCTATTTAATAAGCCACTGTAAATAAAAGTTCACCAATTCGGGCTGAAATAGAATAGAATAGAATACTTTATTGGCCAAGTGTGATTGGACACATAAAGAATTTGTCTTGGTGTAAATACTCTCAGTATACATAAGATACATTCGTCAGGAGTCGAGAATCATCAGGTACAACACAATGATAGTCATAGGGTACAATAAGCAATCAAATCATACTATGAAACAGTCAATAAAAATCGTACGGATACAAGCAACAAGGCTACAGTCATACAGTCACAAGTGGGAGTGAATGGGTGATAAGGAGTGATGACAAGGTTAACAGTAATAGTAGTGCAGACTTTGTAATAGTTGAACAGGGTTGAGGGAATTATTTGTTTTAGCAGAGTGATGGCTTTCGGGGGAAAACTGTTCTTGTGTCTAGTAGTTCTGGTGTGCAATGCTCTATAGCATCGTTTTGAGGGAAGGAGTTAAAATAGTTTCTGTCCGCGATGTGAGAGGTCTGTAAATATTTTCACAGCCCTCTTTTTGACTGGTGCAGTATACAGGTCCTCGATTGAAGGCAGGTGGGTAGTAATTGTTTTTTCTGCAGTCCTAATTACTCTCTGAAGTCTGTGTCTGTCCTGTTGGGTTGCAGAACCAAACCAGACAGTTATAGAGGTGCAGATGATAGACTCAATAATTCCTCTGTAGAACTGGATCAGCAGCTCCTTGGGCACTTTGAGCTTTCTGAGTAGGTGTAGAAAGAACATTCTTTATTGTGCTTTTTTGATGGTGTTTTTGATGTCCATTTTAGGTCATGTGATATAGTAGAACCTAGAAATTTGAAGGTCTCTACTGTTGATACTGTGTTGTCTAGTATTGTAAGAGGTGGTAGTATAGGAGGGTTTCTTCTAAAGTCTACCAACATTTCTAGTTTTGAGTGTGTTCAGTTCCAGATTGTTCCAGTTACACCACAAGGCAAGTTGTATAACCTCCTGTCTGTATGCGGATTCATCATTGTCTCGAATGAGACCAATCACTGTTGTGTCATCAGCAAACTTCAGTATTTTAACAGATGGATTATTTGAGATGCAGTCATTGGTATATAGGGAGAAGTAGAGAAAGCACACAGCCTTGGGGGTCCCCTGTGCTGATTGTACAGGTATCAGATGTGATTCCGCCTAGCTTCACCTGCTGCTTCCTGTCTGTTAGGAAGCTTATGATCCACTTACAAGTGTGTTCAGGTACCGCTAGTTGGTTTAATTTACTTAGAAGAGTGTCTGGAATGATGGTATTGAATGCTGAACTGAAGTCTACAAAGAGGACCCTTGCGTAGGTATTTGGAAATTCAAGGTGTTGTAGGATGTAATGCAGAGCCATGTTAACAGCATCATCTATTGATCTATTTGCTCAGTATGCAAACTGCATGGGATCTAACTGCGGATCTGTGATGGTTTTCAGGTGGGACAGCACAAGCCTTTCAAAGATTTTCATAACTACAGATATTAGAGTAACTGGTCTGTCGTCATTCAGTTCCTTGATGGAGGGCTTTTTTGGCACTGGGATGATAGTAGAGCGTTTGAAGCAGGAAGGAACATAGCACATCTCTAGTGATCTATTGAAGATTCAGGAGAAGATGGGGGCCAATTGGTCAGCACAGACTTTTAAGCAAGGAGTTATCTTGTCTGGCCCTGGTGCTTTTCCTGGCTTTTGTCTGTGTAATAGATCTTGCACTTCTTTTTCTATGATCACCAGAGGTTGTGAACCCAATGGATTGGGGCCAGTTGTAGGAGGCTTGGCTGTTGTTGGTGTGTTTGAGATGTGGGTTGTGGAGATAGGTGGCTGTAGTTTCTTTTCAAACCTGCAGTAAAACACATTCAGGTCATCTGCTAGTTGTTGATTTCCTTCTGCCTGGGAAGGAGGTTTGCTGAAGACAGTGATGTTTTTAAGAGTTTTCCACATGTTTGCTGGTTCATTTGTTGAGAACTGATTCCTTAACTTTTCAGAGTAGCTTCTTTTTGCTGCTCTGATCTCTCTTGTTAATATGTTTCTGGCCTGGTTGTATAGCATTCTGTCACCTTTTCTGTAAGCTTCCTCTTTGGAATGAAGTAGCTGCTTAAGTTTAGCTGTGAACCAAGGTTTATTATTACTATATATTTGCAGGTTCCTTGTTGGTACACATAAGTCTTCACAGAAGCTGCCATATGATGTTACAGTATCTGTGAGCTCATCTAGGTCTGCAGAGGCATCTTCAAAAACATTCCAATCAGTGCAATCAAGGCAGGCCTGGAGTTTCAGCTTAGCCTCATCTGACCAAGTCTTCACTGATTTAACTGTTGGTTTCATGGTTTTGTCTGTAGGCAGGTATAACGTGAATCATACAGTGGTCAGAGTGTCCCATGGTAAAGATTTATAAGCATCTTTTACTGTTGTGTAGCAGTGGTCTAAAGTATTTTTGCCTCTGGTGGGACAATTTACATGCTGGAAATATTTTGGGAGCTCTTTCCTTAAATTTGCTTGATTGAAATCTCCTAAAATGGTGGGAAGGGAACCTGGGTGTTTGGCTTCAGCCTCCATATGGTAATTTGATCAGCAAGAGTTTGTAATGCCTTGTTTACACAAGCTTGTAGAGGAACATACACAGCTATTAGGAGAAATGAGGAGAACTCACATGGAGAAAATGGCTTGCAGTTGATATGTAAAGACTCTAAGTTTTCATCACATAATTTGTATATTATAGTTTTATCCTGAGACCAGCTGTTGTTGATATATAAACATAATCCTCCACCCTTTGTTTTACCTGATGTCTCTTCAATTCTGTCTGATCTAAATGTCTGAAATCCTGGGATGTATATGGTGTTGTTCCCATGAATTTGTGGATTAAGGCAGGTTTCAGTAAAACAAAGAACAGCTGAATTGTAAAAATCAGAATTCCATCTATTTAACAGATGAATTTCATCCATCTTGTTAGCAAGTGAGCGTAAATTAGTCAGAAAGATTGAAGGGAGAGGAGTCCCCCCCCCCCCCCATTCCTTAGTCTGTTTAAATTCCTGCTCATTTACCTCTTCTCTTTCTGGGCGTTGCCGCTTCTTTGCTTTTTTTGTTGTAATCCATAGCACCGGGAAATTAGTTAGAATCTCCTCTGTGTTTGCAAAGACAGGTGGGGGTGAGGAATCAGAAAGGTGCTCCTTAAGGAAACATTGCCTAATTCTTAGCAGATGGTCTCATGAGGATGAAATCCGTAGTGAATTGCAGATAATAAGGAATAAAGAAACCATTAGAGAGCATTTCACCGAGGCAGCCATCATCGGTGCCATCTTGGCAGCCCAAGAGTTTGCTACAATGGGTGATCATATTTCTAAAACCCTCATTGGAAGTTGAATAAATATAAATTGCATATATTGTGCTTTCATAAATATTTTTTTTCTAGAGAAGTGTTCTAAAGCAAGGTAGGGCCAAGATAGCAATGTCTTTGGGAGTGATTAGCAAGCTTCTTGTCCCAACTGGATTCAATAGCTATTCCTATACCTAAGACAAGAGAAGGTCCTTCTCTCCATCCAGCAGCAGCTTTTCAGATACCATTGAGAAAAACATGCTGTGGAAGGAACGTCATTTTCCCATTGAGTCTTCAGCAGGGCAACCTATCTGACGCTCTGAGACATGTGCAATGGTGTCAGCATCTCTTCAAAGATGGCTCCTTTCACATTCGACCCTCTCAGGTTGGCCTCTTGTAGATCACAGCCTGACAGGTCACAGTTCTGAAACAACAGAGCAAGTTATTAGCAGGAGTTACTGGATGACTTGCCTACAAAGCAGCATGGCTATTAAAGTTGAAGGAAAACTCCCAATGAATCCCTTTGTTTAACTCTCTGGGATCCATCAAAAATCAGAAGATGGAGACCTCACCTCCAAATCAGTTCCTGCCAAGGTTGCTCCTCTCAAGTTGCAGTTTTTCAATTTTGCGTTCTTTAGAGTTGCAACTCGGAGATTGATGCCAGTCATTTGACTTCCTTCCATATCAACACCTTTCAAGTTAGCACCTGCAGCCACAAAGTCCAAGCCCATAAAAAAAAAGAGGTGGAATTTCATCTCACTCTCACTGTCCCTTTAGCATCCTATTACAAGATATAGCAAAAGATTCTGACTTTTATGTTGATTGAACCATTGGATTTATTGTACATAAACTAAATTCTGTCATGTTCTTCTTCCTTTTCTGGTAAAACAACCATCATAAAAACCTTAGGGCACCATAATTCATTAACAAAGGCATCCAATTATAAAAGTTTGCCATATTTTATCTTTCTGTTTTATTTTATTGTAATTTCTTAAGTTAATATTGTGAGCCACCCAGTCATCGAGAACCAGTTGGCATACAAATTGAATCAATTATTATAGTTGGTCGGATAGTCAGCCAGATGTTTGGATTGGATTTGACATTTTTATTCACCTATCAAGTCCTTCCCAAGAGGCAGATAGGCAGATATTGTTACTATTCATTGCAGTCAGATGGATGCTCAGACTGGATTTAGCATTTTTGTCTGCCTATCAAATCCTTCGCAAGGACTTGGGATGGCCTATGTGGATGTTTGAGTGTTACTGATATTGTCACAGGATGTAAGCTGTTTGAGTATAGCTGCCTTTTGCAATTGACTGATGGTGAATTTGTCAATGCCGAATGTGTTCGGGTTGTGCCCCAGCTGGTTTAGGATTGTACCCAAGGTACAATCCTAAACCAACTGGATTGTACCTTGGGTAGTACTATTAGTACTATCTTTGCTTTCTTTGCCACAGTCTTTCTATTTCTATTTGCAAGTCTTTATGTTTTATTATCTGCTCCAGTTCCTTCTCTTCTATTCTCCAGGTCTAGTCTTCAGGTCCTGCCTTATTATTAATCAAAGTGCAAGTGTATAAGTAATGGAAGACATATCCCTTCAGAAATGGTTGAAGAGGTTACGAATTGCAACAGTAAATGTTACGCTGCCGTATGTTTAATCAATATTTGTGAATTGGATTTTATCATATTCCTTTTTCTTCTTAAAATCTACTTATCCCTGGGGTCAGAAGTGGGACAGAGTCACAAAAACCTAGCAATTGTGGTATCCAAACCATATACCATGCAACATGCTCAGTCATCATTTGTTAAATGTGTGTAAGCTGTGTTGGATTTCAACTAGCGTTGTTTTCCTTCTCTGCTTCCTGCTCATTTAAATTGTACTTTTTTTATCTACATAGCAGGTGCTCTGAGTTACTTTTCCTCTGCTTTGAAAGCAACTTTTCGTCATCGTGATATCTGTTGATCTGATTAATATTTCCTTTCGATTCTAACAACCAACCTTTAATGATCAGAGACACATTCAGTCAATTCCTGAATGATACTGACTGCATTACATAAAAATCGGTGGAGTTTACCTTCCAAATTAGCTTTAAGGCCAGAAGGATCTTCAAAATTGCAGCTTTTCAGGGAGGCTCCCTCTGCATTTGAGCACAACATCTTTACACCTTGGAGGTTGGCATACTGCCAAAGAAAGAGGAAAACAAAAATTTCAGATGGAAAAGAGGCCACATTTCATCTGATCTAGAAATCTGCAGGCTACATTTGACAGATGCTGGACTGATCATATATGCTTACAATACTACCAAGAAAATTCCACAGCCTTTGTTAGCAGAATCTGCAGGTGTCAGATCACAGTGCTTTACCTAAAGGACTCTTCAGGAAAAGAATTGTAGATAAAGGACTTTATCTCTCCCTAAACGTAAAGAACTTCACTTTTACCTAAACTCTTAAAATTTGCCTCTTGATTCATTTCATGGTTATTTCATTTCATCTTTTCAAGTCCACCATACCAAGTCCTGATCAAGTACAGCAGGGGTGTCAAACTCAATTTCATTGAGGGCATCAGGGCTTGTGTTTGATCTTGGGAGGGCTGGGGGGGGGGGCGTGGCCAGGGTGGAGCGCCCTGCACCTTCCTGCAGCTCCCAGCCAGCGAAAATTGATGATTGACAAGTGTCATTACTAGTCATATCTTAAGATTTATTTCTAGGCCATGCATGCTCCATAGGGCAGCTATTGTGCAGATTCCGTCTTTTTCAAAGTAGTACTACTTTAGGCACACTACTATGGGACAAAGCTAACCACTCATTAGGTGGAGTGGTTAATCCGTTTTGCCTAAAGTTTGCAAGTGTGTTTTATTCTTATCCAAATAACACCCACATCTAGAACAGATCCGGAGAGATCAGCCCGTTCAAGATTTGAGCAGCAGAGGTTCGCGTGGGCCAGGTTGCATCGGCTCAAGTTGGCCATCTTGAAGTTGATGTACCGGAGATCTAAACGAGAGAGGTCTGCTCCGCTAAAATTTAACCCCTGGAGAAGAAGAGAGCAGTGGTCAGGTGATCTAGTCCACAAGGAATCTGAGTTCAAAATGACTTGTTTCAATTCTGCCATGGTTAGATCAAACTCAAAACAACCCTTCTGGAATGGAAACTTCGGGGTCAGCCTTGTTATCTACATTTTGTAGCAACTATGGCAAAATCCAGGTCAGAAATCCAAATGCAATTGCTTTGAAGACAAAGTGTTTAATCTAACCCAGAGAAGGAGTGCAGTCAACATTTATTTATTTGTCCAATTCCTAGTGCCACCCATCTCAGTGAATGACTGGGTGGATTACACTTCAGAACATATATTGCAATTAAAAATATGATTACAGATTACCAGAGGTGGAAGAGACCTTGTAGGTCATCCCTGACCTAGAAGGAGACCTGACACCATTTCTGACAAATGGCAGTCCAGTCTCTTCTTGAAAGCCTCCAGTGATGAAGCTCCCACAACTTCTGAAGGCAATTTCGGTTTCATTGGTTGATTGTTCTCACTGTCAGGAAATTTCTCCTTATTCCCAGGTTAAATCTCTCCTTGTTCAATTTCCATCCATTATTTCTAGTTTGGCCTTCGGGTGCTTTAGAAAATAGCTTGACCCTTTCCTCTCTGTGGCAGCTCCTCAAATATTGGAAGACTGCTATCCTGTCTCCCCTGGTCCTTCTCTTCCCTAGGCTAGCCATGCCCAGTTCCTGAAACCGTTCATCCTATGTTTTAGCTTCCAGTCGTCTCGTCATCTTGGTTGCTCCTCTCTGCACTCTTTCTAGAGTCTCAACATCTTATTAAAATACTGTAAAGCAATAAAAACATTAAAACATCCCATTCAAGATACACAAGAACATGTGATCTAGGTTCCTCTAAAGTAGAGGTCCATGAAGCAGCTCCAGTACTTGGTATGCCAGAAATTGGGCCCTGCAAACAAGAGAAGCCCCATCCATGGGATGCAGGCAGCATGCAAAATCATGCCTCCTTCCAGCCTGTGGAAAAACCTCTCTCCACGGAAGGGATCCCTGGGGCCCAAAGGTTGGAGGCCGCTGCTCTAAAGCATGCTTATCTAACCTTTTATTTTCTCTGGGTTGTATCAAATGAAGTGGAATGGGCTGCATATAAAACATATAGTATAGTTAATGTATACAAGCAAACTTGCTTAATTTTTCAACATTTTTATTATCTTGTGGGACCGTATTACTAGCTATCCAGGACTGCATGCTGCCTGTGATGATTTTTAATATATCAGAGGAAACTTTTCTCTTTACAAGTTGTGCAAAACAGCTCCAAAAAGATATCCTTATTTTTTTTATTTATTTCAGTGACAGTCATATTACCTGACAGCGTAGCTCTGACTTGGTTGAGGTTGCAAGGAGGAACCTGACAAATTCCTTTCGAGAAATCGGGGAATGGTCTTCTGCAGGTTGGGAATTCTGTCAAGGAAGAGAAGAAGCGCTTAGGCCCAAACAATACAAGATGGAATAGCTCACATTGGGCGATATACAGCAGGGTGGAGATATTTGAGGCATTTTACAGATTACAGCTTAACAGAGTGGGAAGGGACCTTGTAAGTCATCTAGCCCAAGCGGGAGACCCTATACCATTTCTGACAAATGGCAGTCCAATCTCTTCTTGAAAGTCTCAAGTGATGAAGCTCCCACAACATCCGAAGGCAACTTCTGTTCCATTTTCAAGAAGGATATTTACTATCCACGGAAAAGCTGTTGGGGATGTTGACATTGTAGGCTTGTTACATCTAATTCTGTCTCTTTCCTCTAAACCACATCTAGAAACCACTGGTTTTTGCTAATTTACTTCTTCTGGCTACACTGTACAGCTGAGCCCATTAACGTCTATGTCTGAAGAACAAATTGTTGGCATGCCACTTTATTGTGGCGCAGCAATTTGGGAGTGCTCTTTTTCTTGGCACGCAAGGAAATTAAGTTGATATCCTTAAGCCATATACAGTAGGTGTGCATCTCTTTGAAAATAACTAACTTGACTGGGATCCACTCAGAATGCTGTCAATTAAATGTTATTGGCTTTTTGTTCACTTTTTCATACTTTAATTAGGGATTCTAACAATACTAAAAAGAAAGAAAAATACAAAGTACAAAAAACAGATTTCTGTCTCTCAAAAATTTCTTCAAAATGTTTTTGTTTTTAACAAATAGAAACATTTCCAGGGCATAATCATCATCTTCATTTACTGACCCCAAAATCCCTTGTAGGGTGGAGTCTGGGCACCTGAATGGAGCTAGCAGACTGTTTTAATGGCTGGATGCCCTTCCTGTCACCAGTGCAGAGTTTTGTTCATATTTTCAGTGTGCCCAGAGAGAGAAATATCTGGTTCTACCTAGGATCGAACTCACAGCCTCCTGATTGTGAGGCTAGACCTCCAACTCTAGGCCACCACACCACTTTCCTGGGCACAATGTAACATAAAAACCAAAATTGTAACATAAAAGCCAAAACAAAGGCGAACAGTCAGAAAGGAAGCAGATTCAAAAATTAGCATTACCTTAATTGCTAGTTCAAGGTGTTCAATTAGTGAGTCAATTCCAAAGAACCTCGCTTCCTCTAAGACACCTAGCATAAGAGGAGCGATACAACAAAGCTAGCAATGGTTACGAATAATGACAAGATTCACCACTCAACCTCCCTGCTCTCTAATTCAGGTTATAGCAACCATGCCCAGGATCAGACAGTTTCATTGGGCCAAGATCCTTTGCCAGAACTGGTTTCAATCATAATTAATATGAAATATCAACCATGATTTACTACTTAAGAGAAACAATGGTTTGAAGATAAACTGTAAGCCACAATTCCCCAGCTTCATACAGTATGCTGTTTTATTGCAAACCAGGTCAACATCAGCATGTTAACAAAAAAAAATCTATCTAGTGATCTTAATCTTAAATCCCTTTTCCAGGTCTGTTTGATTAAAAATTCCACAACCTCTATTTAGCCGTGTGTTGATTGATTCATTAATCTTAACTTTCCTCTGAAGCGGCTGTTTACTTAATACTTATTTCTCCAGTTTTGCCCCACAACAGGAACCCTATCAGTTTGGGCAAAGAAAGAATGACTGGCCCAAATCATCCAGTGACTTGAACGAGTGTAGTATAGTATAGTGGTTATGGTGTGGGGCTAGGACTGGAAAAATCCAAGATTGTACCAAAATGCCAAAACCTTGAGTGAGATTTTCATGTGCTTGGTTCTAATTCAGGAAGCTTGGCTTTAGAATTGTCTGAGAACAAGCATGGTTGTAACAAAGCAACAAAATGTTTATATGTCCTAGTACATACCCAACAAATTAATGCCATCGTTCACAATTAGCTGTCCATGCCGCAAATAGTTTAAGATCGGTTCAAAGTACTCCGGACTTCGGTCAATCAGAAAAGCTCCGCTGTGATCTCTCTTGTTTCCCCAAGCATCTGTTGCAGATGGACACATTTTTTTCAAAAAAATGCTTCCCTTAACATGTCCTGAGATAAGTCCATTTCTCACCCTCCCCGTCTCCATCTGTCTCCAGCAGCTAAAATGCATCATCTGTAGCCAAGTTTAGAAATTAGACTTAAGTGCCGCTTAAGTTAAGAAATTAGACTAAACGAAATTCGCCACCACAAATTTAGAATGGGGACATAGTAAATAAGGAGAAAAGGACATCCTCTAAACTGGAAATACATGTTCTGTTGTCTTGCTGGTGGTTCTACTACATTTACCTTCTAAAAGCAGGCAGGACCAGGATAATTAGATGGTGTCATGGTTTTAAGAAGTTAACTTCATACTCCTCCAATTCCATACACTTTTGGCCCCAGTCTGAACTCTGGAGGCTGCAGAAAAGGTTCTAACACATTATTTATAATCTGACCAGAACTTTCTTTTCTGCTTTGTGATTATTTCCATATGGGTGGACTTCAATTTCTAGAATTGTTAAGAATTCAAGGAATTGAAGCCCATGTATGGGGAGGGACATCCGTTGGGAAAGACTAATCTAAAATATAGTTGAACTACATTTCCAGAAGTCGGCATAGCTTCCAACAAGAATGTTGCAAGATGTAGTTCGGCATCATCCAGAGAGCTTCAGATTCTCCACCCTGTATGATCTAGGAAAAAGCCCCAAACCTGTTTACATATGGTATGTAAAGAGAATAGTAACTATGTTCTTCTTTTGTGGCACTTCTGTAGCCCATGACCAACAAAATTGCCTGAAAATCATTCCTCACTCCTGACTTAATGAACTGCTCAACTGATCCTTTCTTCTTCGTGTACCTTTGGACATGCTCCTCAAGAAGAGCTAGCTAGACAATGCTGCCAGCCCAAACTCTCATTCTTGTTTATAAACACAAATCCAAAGTGTGCCACTGGGGTCTATGTAGTTTCAGTGTAGAATCATATACATCAAACCTTACTTTGCAACAAAGAATAGTTTACATGGCATGGATTTGCAAAATGGGTACTGGATAGAGCTTTCACATATGTATCTCAAGTCATACCAACCTTTATCTTTAAACATGTGAGCCAACATGCTATCAGGTTCTTTACTAACCAAAGTGCTCCTAAGAAAGAAATATAGAGAAATGAATACATTGGCCACTTTGGCATTTGGAGTAGCATTCAGGTGGCGATTTTTAAAAAAAGCCATTTGGCTTATTTACTATTTATTTCCATTTTATGTTTATTTATTTTCTTTTTATGTCCATAGAAAGAAGTGACAATAAAGGTTATCTTATCTTTATAAGCAAGTTGGGTCCCAATGCTGACTTAACCAATGGGAAATGGGAAATGTGGTTCTACACCAGATTGGAGAAAAGTTGGTTGAACCTTTAATTTATGGAATTGCTCAATTTAAAAATAATAGAGAAGGCTAAGACAATGTCATATTAAACCAGCATTTTAAAATCATGGATGGTTGAAAAATCATTTGGTATGGGTTGCACATAATAATAACCAACAACAGCCTTCACATATCATGCTACATGAACAGCCCTACAGTTTAACATGAAGCCTGAATGCAACCACTGTATCTAAAAGTTGTTAACAGCTTTATTAATGAACAATGCACTTAAGCTTTAGCTTAGTTTAGTTTACTTTATTGATTAGCTCTTGGGCCATGTCAAAGTGCAGAGTTCCAGACACAAGTTATTACTAAAAATTAATAAAATACAATTTAAAATGAAATTGGAATAAAATACAATAGTTTAATATATATATATATATATATATATATATAAAATTTTATGTATATATATGTATATATATATACATAAAATATGATAAAATTGTATTTCGGTATCACCCCTACAATCTACCCCAATCAGTCCCACATATGCCGATCTCAACTGAACATTTAACCCTTAGCAATATTATCTTTCCAATGATGAACTTCACAATAAGGAAATAGACTCATACCGGGTAGTCGTGAAGTACCGTCCTCCTACATTGAGTGTTATCCAATCTGAATGAGATCCTGTTAATGTTTCTAGAGAGTTGATGTCATTCTGGGGATCTATGAACATGGAAAACATATCAACATACATTAACAACTTTAGACTTCCTGTTCTTCGGGGGGGGGGGGGGAAAACTTGGTGCACTTACCAATGAATGGTTCATCTTCACATACAAAAAGAACGTCATCATCTCTATGAAGGAAATGAGAAAGAAAACCAGGGATTCAGAATAAGCCCAACAAATGTTTTTGGAAAACAGTAATTGTTAATTCCAGATTCCAAAGTTTTAGAGAGCTAAAATCAATCCTATTGCATTATGATAATGGTTTAAGTGATAAAGATCTAGATAACAATTCAACTATGCTAAGTAGCTTCATAGGAAGGAGTTTGAATTAATTCTTTTATGCAATAGTCATTTGTCGATAGTCTGTATATCAAACTTGCTCTGAAATGCAGTGTTTGAGCAAGAAAAGTTTAAAAAATGTGAAATCACCAAGACTGTTTTTTCTTTTCTTTTTGAAAGAGGATATGAGCACCACAATCTAAAACCATCCCTTTTCAGAGTCTGATTTTTGTTTTCCTACACTCCACTGCTTTAGTGTCAGGGAAAAGAAATACATTGATAAATTAACAAACTCTCCATGCTCTAAATTCAATTGCTTTTGCAGATGGTTTTGATCCAAATTCCTTAAATGCAAAGACATTCATGTTTGGGAAAGTTGGAAAGCTAAGAGTCAAGCTGGAGACTCAGATTCATATTTATGCAAAAATACTCTGGTAACGGGGCTTTGTTTACAGCTTACTTCCCAACAAATTCAATAAGCATAGGACACATGGAACAAACAAACCCCTTTAGTAGAAAAATATTTGTTAGAAGGCAAACTATAGGATGCGATAGCAATTCTCTGGCCAAGGGAGATGGAATGAAAACCTATTTGTAACCATTACACAATGGAATCCACATACAATCCTGTCCCAGATGAGAAGCTATATAAATCATATAATTTGACTCAGAAGCTCAGACTTTTCCTTCCTCTGCTTTTTCATTTATTGTAATCAGAGTGTACAACAAGGATAAATGCTTGATGCCCTACAGATGCTTTGGACTATAGCTCTCACCATGTCCAACCAGCATGAAAATTATATTTCTGGACATCTGGAAGACATCAGGTTGCCTACTCTTAGTTCACAATAATTTTGAATTCTTCACCAACTTTTTAGCTAATCTTGGGACATTTCCAAATCAGAATCAAATCATGGCTTGAATGGGGCTGGGGTTATGATTTGCAGAGTGGGCTTTTCACATGTCGGAATAGACCCTTATGCTAAGTCACCGTCATGGATTATTAAATTTGGCCTTGGGCATGGCATTCAATTAAGCCAGGATAACTGCATTATATTGCTGAATGTTGTGGCAGCCGCATTATATGGCTGAATATTGTGTGTGACATGGGACACCATGACATGCTCAACAAACTGTTATTTAAACTGGGGTGGCCAACATTTTGGTTGCTAAAGGCAATGCTTAACGTTTTTCAGGATAAAAGTCTGCAAAGTGGCCATATCACGTAAGCAACAAGAGATGGGTGGGAAGACTGGAAGTGGAAGAATACAAAATAACTGAGTTAGAAGGGACCTTTGAAGTCCTCCTGTTAAGGCAGGAGGCCCTATACCAGGGGTCCTCAACCACCGGGCCGCGGACCGGTCCCGGTCCGTGGAGCACTCTGTACCGGGCCTCAAAGAAAAAAAAATTTAAAAAATGGCGGCTTTCTTCGCCTTCGGTGAATGCTGCTGGGATCGGGGATCAAGGACACAAATGAAAGAAGGGGAGCGAGGAAGCAACCGAAGCCTGTCCTGCTCTCTGGCTCAGCAGCTTCGGTTTCCTCCCGCCTCGTTCCTCTCTCAGTCGCTCTCTCGCTGCTCCACCAGCCCAGGAAGAAACTGCTTCAAAGGAGCTGGGGGGTGGGGTGGCTTTTCCTGTCGCCGCAGCTCCTCCGAAGCGCCCAGTCACCCCCACCCCGCCCGCCCACGCGCGGTTCAACCCAGTGCTCCGTTCTGCCTGCCTGCCTGTCTGGTTGTTTGGGAGCAGCTTCAGCTGAGAATAATAACTATTCGCCTCTTTTTATCAGCCGAAGCTGCTCCAAAACGAAGGCAGGCAGGCAGGCAGGCAGAACGGAGCACTGGGTTGAACCGCGCGTGGGCGGGCGGGGTGGGGGTGACTGGGCGCTTCGGAGGAGCTGCGGCGACAGGAAAAGCCACCCCACCCCCCAGCTCCTTTGAAGCAGTTTCTTCCTGGGCTGGTGGAGCAGCGAGAGAGCGACTGAGAGAGGAACGAGGCAGACACCTGAGGGAGGGAGGGAGACACCTGAGGGATGGGGCTGAGGGAGGCAGGGTCGAGGCGCTCCCTGAACTTGGTGGTTTGCTGGCAGACGTTTTATTACCCGACTAGGTAACAACATCAGATGTTACCTAGTCAGGTAATGAAACATCTGCAAGCAAACCACCAAACTCAGATTCTCTCCCCCCCCCCGGTCCTTGAAAAAGTGTTTGTGCTTGAAACTGGTCCCTGGTACAAAAAAGGTTGGGGACCACTGCCCTATACCATCAGTCTCTTCTCAAAAACCTCCAGTTATGGAGCACCCGCAACTTCTGAAGGCAAGTTATTCCACTGATTAATTCTGATTGTCAGGAATTTTCTCCTTAGTTCTAGGTTGGGACTCTTTTGATAGTCTTCCATCTGTTACAGAAGAAGATGGAGCTATAATATATTCTCTATAAAATAATCCCTGTTGATAGGAGTGGTGTGAGGTGGAGCTCTCGCCTCACTATCAGGAGGCTGTGAGTTCGATCCTAGGTACAGGCAGATATTTCTCTCTCTGAGCACATCTGCTGAACAAAACTCTGCACTGGCGTCAGTAAGGGCATCCGGCCACTCTGCTAGCTTCATTCTATTGCCCAGACTCCATCCCGCAATGGATTATGGAGTCATTAAACGATGATGAAAATAATCCCTGTTGATGGCTTTGTAGGAAAGGGGTTCATGGCCATTTCAACATCAATACATTGTACTCTATTGTAGTACAACAAATATGGCATTCCTGAATCAGCTTTCATTCCACCTTCCAAGCAGTTCTTGTGCCTATTAGGCTTATTCAAAAGGACTCTAATGAACACATTTCCAATATAGGGTAATCTTACCTAATTAAGGCAATGTCGTCAATAAGTCCACCTCTTCCATTGTAGACACTGGTTGCTTTTATTCCAAGCTTATTGCTTGCGACAGAAAGCAAATCAGACAGTGTTCCATAAACAGCCACAACCTATAAGAGAAAGTTAGCCTTTTAATTCAGTGCACCCAGTTAGGTTTTTCATCCATTTATATTTTATACTAGTATGAACACCCATGCGCTGTGCAGCACTCGATCTGCTTCAGAGTCAGCCTGAGATAAATTGGACCACCCCCCCTCCCCCAAAGAAGTGGATCAGCCTTAGAAAATCTGTGCTTCTTTCTCATTCCCAGTTTCCACAATGTAGATTGCAACAAGGAAATAGTTTTATCTATGCTTGAAATTTAATATATTTAAGGCATTTTAGAGAACAGTCAAGCTACTTTTTCCATTAAATGAGGTCAATTTCTAGATTCATATTGGATCCAAACAGCCTCACAGTATTATCCTGCAGAATTAAGGGGCCCAGTTTGTGTATCCTGCCACCACAATGTGGCTTATTTGTTTCAGTTTTCAGTAATAAGCCACAATTGGTTGGGTTGTGTAATAAACCATACAAGCAGTCCTTGTTTAGTGTCTACAACTGGAACTGGCAACTTGATTATTTAAGCAAAACAATCACAAAGTGAAATGCAACTCTGCTTATGATCTTATTTCAGCTTTCCCAGATCTGCCCAGGTGGTAAATGCAAGGATTGGTCATAAAGTTACTTTTTCATCACTGTCATAACTTCAAACGGTCACTAAATGAAGCAGTTACTAAACAAAGACAGTCACTAAACAAGGACTACCTGTATTTCAGTGTGGTTTATTTGATTTTGACACAGCATCATCTGCAAATTGAGTGATTTATCAATTTTATCAATTTGTGCATAGAACTATACCTTAATTCAGAAGTGGTGGAAAAGAGAAAGGGGGGGGGGATATCCAAAACTGATTGTATATATTGACCATAACAAGTAGAGTATTGTACTTATTAAATGCATTGTGCCGCTGATAAAAGCAACCAGTGGAAGTATTTCCAAATCGGGGAGATTCTTTTGCATTACAAATGATTTCAGAACAGTCCCATTATTAATTGAAGGAAGCTGGATCACTAAGCAATCAGAAGACAAAATGATTTCAAACTGTTAATAGGCCACATCACTCTTAGATGAACGGATGGTGGAGATTTAATCGCCTCATATAGACTTCTCCATCTTTTATCACTGGAGATAATTTTCTCTCTCTTTTTTTTTCTTAAACGTTTATGGCTTCCAATATTTATGTTTGTAACTTCAGTGTATGCTAGAATGCAACGAAGTCTACCATGGCAGATGGACTGCTCCTGTTTTATTTTGTGCATCTCTCGCCCACAGATGGAAAACCACATCCTGTGCTTGTCATTTGTTTTCCATTCCCAACAAGGTAAAGCACAGATTCGTATGTCAAAGGCCATCATTTTAAAATGCCAGTCACTTCATAAACCCAAAGCAACAGGGTTCCACAGGTGCTGGCTGATCTGATGCACAATTTTTTTTTAAAAAAAAAAATATCCCCAGTCACCCGCTGTTTATAATCCAGAGTTTCCATACCTGTTCCCAATCACAGCCCTGCCACCTGTTGTTAAGAGTGAGCAGAAACAGCAACAGGAAAAACTTTTGATCGGTCCAAACGTCATCGCACTTCCCAGCTAACCCTCCTGGGTTCACAATCCATCAGAATGAGCAAACGTCAACTGAGAGGAATATCTGGGAAATTTCAAGTGGCAAAGTTCTCCAGAAGTTCCTCGCCTGTCCTAAAAATCGATCATGGCTCAAGCTGTGCATTATGTCAACGACAAACAGGATGCTGTTTCTCTTTAGTTGGTATAAAGCATATCTGAATTGAAATATTTCTTGAGGAAAGGAGAGCTACGAATAACCTAATCCCCCAAGTTTTTTTAAAAAATTTTTTTAGGGAATGAACCTTTACTGCTAAACTTTTTTTAAAATGATGAAAGTCTTGCATTTTTAAGACATTACAATTTAATATGTTCTCACACAATTACCTAATTCATGTGAGGCACTAAACATGAGCAACCGATTTATTAAACTTGAGCTCTCAACTTACACAACCGGGAAAATCGACTTCTATGCTACAAGATAAAGTTAGTTCTCAGTTTATGACCAGAATTAGGACCAGAATTTCCAAAGGCCATTGTTAAATGAGTAAATGCCCAATTTTAAAAACGCCTTCCCCGCCCCCCCATGACTGTTAAACAAATCACTGCAATTCTTAAGTGAATCATGTAGTCATTAGGCAAAACCGCTTTTCCTCACTGACTTTGCCTGTCAGAAGGCAGCTGCTGTGGCCCCTCCAGCAGCCGAAGCAGATGAGGAGGAGGTGGGGGAGTCAGGGGCATCATCAAGGCAACCTGAGAGCTCTGAGGGGGAAAAGGGAATGGAGCTGGCAGAGAGAGAGAGACACGGAGCCTGGGCCGTCCAACATCCTTCAGATGGGAGAGTCAACAGCCCCCAAGTCTGGAGGTGGTTGATGAAGAAGAGAAGGAACAGCTGGGTTCAGTGCCTGATGCGCAGATGTGAAGAAGGCAGAGGAAAGGAGAGCGGTGGAAATCTATGGGCCGATCCTTGGGATGGAAGAGCCACCGCTGCCAGCAAAGCTTCACCTCAGTTCTGGGGATAAAAGGCAGGAGACGGAGATGAATAGATATGGCAGACAACTACTCATCTTCTGGCTAGACGGCCTTGTTAGACTGCGTTGAGAGAGAAACTTTTTGCCGAAGCAAGGCATCTTTTGAGTTCACTTCAGAGGGTTTGTCATGTTTGGGGAGCTGGGTCAGAATACCAGCTAGGATAGTCACAAATGGTGGTCACACGACCCTGAAATTGCTTCAACTGTGGTAAATACATGTCAGTTGCCAGGTGCCCAAATTCTGATTATGCCTCCGTGCAGATGATATGGCGGTCATAAATAGAAGGGACTGGTCATATATCACTTTTTTCAGGGCTATCATAATTTCGAACGGTCAATAAAAATGGTTGCAAGTCAAGGACTACCTGTATGATGGTGATTACAATGCAGGATATTGCAAGGAAAAATTAGAAAAGGTTTTCCTAGATCTTTGTTTAGCTTTCACAGGCTCTTTTATATACTTTTGCCAAAGCCATAAGCAGGTCAGAAGCATGTTGTGACTGTCACAAGTTAGGAGAGTCACATTCAAATCCTAAACTCTGCTTCATTGATTACACTGTGAGTCATAAGAGAGTGAGTGGAGGAAATGACATTTGGACAATGGACAGCTGTCTCCAAATAATCAGTCCTTGATGCACAACATCAGGAAAAAAAGAATTTGTGGGAAAGGACACTGCAACAACAAAACATTGGAAATAACAAAGACAAACGCTGTTTTGCGTTCAGATCTTAACCCTCCATACAATATTGCTTTTCTCATTCCTGCTTGTTGAGTTATTATTAGCTTATGACAGCAAAGAAGCATACCTTATGGATTACTTATACCCTGGGAACAACTCAAGAGTTTCTAGGATAGAGATTCTTATATACTGTGCTGACTGTGCTGACTTGTTTGGTTGTATGTTGACATGTGATCTCGATCATTATGGCTTGTTAATCAGGGAGATATGAGTTAGTATCTTAGGGAAATCCAACCGTGTGTTACCCAACAAACAAGCCAAAAGAATACCAGTATTTGGCACAGTAAGACTGAAAAGGCTAGGGATCAAAATGACCACAATTTGTTGGGACTGAAGGCAAACAGACATGTCCCAAGATTAATGTTGCAGGATCCAATCTGGTTAGATCACTGGGACCAGAGGTTTAATCTTCTGAGCTTTTAGACTTGTGCTGGAGGCCATCTTCAGGGAACTTCTGTCTAGCAGAGTGTGTGCAGATATTTATATGGTGCCTGGTTGTGTGTGGCTTTTTAGTTGTTGATGGGTATTAACGGCTGGCTTTTAAACTGTTGGCTCTTGTGCACAAGCAAACAACAGCCAACCAACAAAAGCCCAATCAACAACTAAAAAACCACACACAACCAGGCATTATATAAATATCACACACAGAATAGCCCAAAGCACACATTTTGCTAGAGAGAAATTTCCTGAGGATGGGCTCCAGCATCAAAAACTTGGAAGACTAAACTTCTGGTCCCAGTGACCAATCGGATCAGATCCTATAATTTGTTGCAATTATAATTTACAGAACAAGCCACAGCATTAATACATAACACTAACCATAGAATTGTAACAGAAAGATATCGCAGGCAAGCAAACAGTTGATTGAATAAGTCACCAGACTAATTCAGGTACGACTAAAGATAATAATTCAGCTCAAACATCTTGCTAAGCCAAAATCTAACCACAACATCCTGTGATGTGAGAATCCAACCATACTCTCAAGGAATCTGATAAGAGAGTTTGCTAATAAAGCTGTTTATATTCCATGTATGCCCAAGCTATATATTGGTAAATGAATACAAATATTGCAAAATGATGTAGCTATTTTTTGGGGGGGAACTATCTTGGTATGTGCTAGATTTTTGGAATTTTTCACTGCACTGGGAAGATGGAGCAAAACATCACAATATTGTTTGAATAGGGAATTGCATTCTTCTCCTTAAAAACAGTGTGTGGAAGAAGAAGAAATATTTTGGGAGGAAGCCTAGATCCAGTTTATCAAAATAAACCTACACAGGTTATTTGTACAGCTGGATGCTGGCACAGATCTTTTAAAAATTAAGTCCAGAGAAAATAACATGTCTCCAAACAGATTTATAGCTGTACAGCATTCATTAATTTATGCCTGTTCCTTGGTCCAGGAAAAAGTGATGCAAAGCTTGCATTTTCATTAATGTGAAGTGGACTTTTACTGGCACACAACCAGCCAAGTCACTGGCTAATTTCACACACAGTTCGAAGACATAATAGGCTAATCTGGAATTTGCCACTAGGAAATTGTCCTAAATAAATGAACCTTAGACCAATTTGTCCCTCATCCGACTATAATTCCTCCTGCCCACTTCTAAATCATGATCCTGTATTAATTAAACCTATAATAATTCAATGCAGTCTTCATAATCCTGTATATTTAATCCAGCTCTTAGGGAATGAGGATACACAAACAAGGGAAGGAATTAAGCCCGCTGCATGAGGGCTCAACTCTGGCCAAGGGGACAAAATATTGCAAACTAGGAGAATGAGAAGATGTAGTGCTGTACAATATATTATGCTTAGGTAAGATTTCTGTGGCTCTGTGATTTGCATGCACCAGTCCATTTAATTTATGCATTGTGAAAATGCAAAAAAAAAATCATTAACAGGTTAAGAGTGTTGTGTGAATGCAAGCTTTCTTCCTTTTGCAATAATTGGTATTAAATTGCGGAGTACCCACTAGGTAGAAGGGCAAAATTTAAATTAAATTATTAACAATCAGCATCAGTTAATAGCAGCTTTGGGGAGGGAAGAGAGAGGTTTTAATCAAAAAGTTGACATTGCAGTTCTGATGGTTTGCATTTTTTATCAAAGCCATCATTTATTTTGTGGATTTTGTGTAATATGATGTTCTACAGTACTGTGCACTGAAGAAGTTTTCAATACTTATTTCTAATCTGAAGGTCATTGCAGAGTGAAATACAGTGCAATCACCAGAAAAGAAATAGGATAAGTACTAATTACTTTATTGTGGGCTAAACATAAAATTGCAATGAAACCTACTAAGATGACTATATATAGCTGGTCTGAAAAGGTGAGGACAGGAATTAGATGACTTGCAAATACTTTTCTTTCTTTCTGGTGCTCTTTCAAATGTTTGCAGGCCAGACATGCTAGCCAATATATATAGCCAATGTCTCTATTTTCATATTCTCATGTCCTCCAGATCTGTCGAACAACACATTTCATCACTCTTCATAGGAGTGAAACCAGGAATGGGAGTGCCAAATCCTACCAAATTAGGTGACTGCCCTCATCTGATTAATTCCAAATTCCAAACAGGATGAGAACTGGTTAAATCCTGGGGGTGAGGGGGATAGCAGACCACCAGGAAATCCTAGGGCTGTAGCCAAGATCAGAAAGTTTAAAAAGTGAAGCCAGTCACCTTCACCTCCTAAAAAAAACCTTATATAGATTTCTCATCTGCAAAAAAAAAAACTTCCTCATCCCTTTTCTGGGAAGGTGGCCAGCTCAGAGAAGGGTGGGGTGGAATTCCAGGCAACACTGGAGGAAGTAGCTAGAAGACTCTGGGGGGGAGACGAAATTCCAAAGAAAGCTAAAAGTCAACATTTTGGGGGGTTGGTTGCAGCCCTTTTATATCAGCTCCATGCTGGAAAGCACTATTTCAAGAGTGGCAATACCTTTGGCCACTTTTTTTTTTGCCCATGGTTTTATTTTTTATTTTTTGAAATGGCTGTTTTCTTTTTTGTTTGTTTGTTTAAAATAGTTTATTTAAGTTTCATATATTTAAAACATTTAAAAAGAAACAAACATATAAACAAATATATGTATATATATATATATATACATTTTGGAGCAGGTATTGAGCATTGGTTACACTTTTTTCTTTTTTTCTTTTACCCCATAACATTGACGTGATCTACCTTGTTACAATACCTTCCTCGTTCTTTTAATATTTTAATTTCACAGAATACTTTATTATACACACACGTCCTTCATAGTTTCATAACTTATTCAGTTGTCAAATGTTGCTTTTTCTTTAAACATTCATACCAACAGTTCCAAACTTTGTAGCATTCACTATCTTTGTTGTTTTTTTAGTAATTAGGTTAGGCTAGCCATCTCTGCACACTCGTGATTTTTTTTTAATGACCATCTCCTCTGAAGGGACAATAGACAGTTTCCAATTTTGAGCATAGTTTATTCTAGCTGCCGTTATAATGTGCAAGATTAAATATTGATATTTTTTTTCTATTTTTGAGTCTATCATACCCAGCAAAAAGGTTTCGGGTTCAAGTTTTACATCTTGTTTTAGTTATATTTAGAATCCAATTTTTGATAGTTTTCCAAAACTTCTGGGCATATGGACATGTCCACCACATATGAAAGTGGACACCTTTTGGCTACTTTTAAGTCTTGTGGACTGAAGTCCACACAAGTCTTAAAGTGGCCAAGCTTGGACCTCTATTCCATCCCTTTCAAATCCAGGGGGAATTGCTCCCATGGAAGCTACCCCAGGATTCCCACCTTCCATCTGCAGCTCCAGAAAGCTTCCCTGTCCGGCTGTTCCCGATTGGGAGACTGCAGTCCCTCCGGGAGCAGAGACCTCGTGGTGTCCCCGATGCACCCAGAATCAAAGAGTAGTCCAGTAGTCCCGTTGCAAAAAAAAAAAAAAAAAAGAGCCACGTCTTTCCCCGCTTGCCCCCTCCGATAGGAATCGGCCGGCTTACCTTCCCATTTCTGGGGCTGCCATTAACAAACAGGGTGACTCTCTTCATGTCCTCCCTCCGGAGATGCTTTACCAGCCCTGGCTACAAACCCGGAAGAGTGGCTTCCTTTACCAACAGGCCCACCCACCAATCCGCCCCCTGCTTGTTTTTCCCTCTGCCCAATGGGATTCGAAAAGGCACGAGCTGGGCGGGACGTCTAGGCAAGGAAGGCATCCGTCCGTGCGATTTGCTTTTCAGAGGCAGAGGGGGGCGGGGCCTAACGGAGAAGGGCGGGGCAGGCGAGCTGTCGAGGCAGACTCTCCTCTTTTTTGCCCTCCTCCCCTCCGAAAGGCGAGCCTCGGTCCTCATTGGCCAGGCCGGTATCACGTGATCTCCCAACCGTTCTTTTATGGTTTTGAACGAACAACCCATCCGCTGGGCTGGGATTTCTTCCAAGGGAGGGGGAGGGAAAAATAATCCGCGACTGGCCTCCTGATTCGTTTCCTTCAGCGGCGGAGGAGCGGGTAGGCATCCCCAGTGGGTTCCGTATCCGAGGCCGGTTGACCGTCTCGGACTCGGTTTGAGTGGAGAGGAGGAGACGCCTCCTCCGTGTGGCGGAGGGATACACGGCTCTGGCAAAGAGGTGAAAACATATTTTGAACGAAGGGCGCGAGCGGAGGCTCGACGGCGGCGGCGGCGGCGGTTCGTGAGCGCCGAAGTCGGCGTGGCCGGATCGGTTGCTTTAGCGCACCGAGGGCGCATCCTTTTGCGTACTTTACGGTAAGCCCAACAGCAGCCCTGAAAGCTTCGAAGGATTTAAATTTATGATAGCGAAGCTCTAGACTTGTGTTTTTCAAGCTTGGCCACTTTAAGACGGGTGGACTTCAACTCCCAGAATTCCTGAGCTAACATGACTGGAGGAGGAATTCTGGGAGTTGAAGTCCACAAGTCTTAAAGCTGTCAAGTTTGAAGACTCTTGTTCTAGGCATTCCTTGCATATGCTAAGAAGGAGAAAGCAAACCCTTCTTTGGGAGTGCACGTTTCCCATTAGATGTGCAGTGGTGTGCAGATGTGCAAGATGGAGTGTGGCAGATGCAGAAGTTTAGACACCCTCTTGGTCCAGGGTTGCAATGGTCTGAGATAAGCTGGGCAATTAATTTTCCCAGGCGCGCCACATGAGAAACTGGGACTGTTGTGGAGGGGCCATCCAACGGCTGTGAAGGCCTGCATGCACATAGATAAATTGGAAAAAAATAATAAAAGCAATGCAGCTGTACTGCGTGCATGATAGTTGCACTCATTTACGTTTGATTTCTAATTTCCAAATGACCTCGTGTCAACCAAAGGGCTAGAGGTGATTTGGGAGCTGTAAAATGTCCCAGTTTGGTTTGGGAGACTTACTACAGACAAGATAATTGCCATGCAAAAGGCATCTTCGACCATAGAAGCAAGGAGGGCATTGGAAACTTTGACCCTCCCTGGGGAGGGAGGAGGAAAGGAGGAGAATTTTGCCTGTTTTATGCCTTGTTGAACTTTGACTTCCTAAGCCTGAAGACTATTAATCATGAAGCTGATCATGGATTAGCTATCTGCCTTGTCTAACATTATCCTTTTCTTTTAGAAGAAAGATATCCAGACTTCTGTAGTACAATATTGCTTAAAAGTCCCAATCTGAAGACAGAACTATTTCTCAAGAAAGCAGCCATATCACTAATGTGTTGACAGCTGCAAAGTCATTCCCAATGGAGAATCAGAATATTAAAAAGGTACTTTCCGAGTGTTCCAATACACAACCCAACTTGTATTTGGGATGTGGAAACCCAGTCAAAAGCATGAAGAAGATGGACTTTCTCTTCACAAGTGGTCCATCAGATGCTCCAGCAGCAAACTTGTGTAGAAGCAGTGCCATTTCTGAGAGTTTGGGAAGCACCCGGATAAACAATCCCCCTATCATCATGAATGATACAGATGATTTAACAACTCCCAGGAGAAAATCTACAAATGTTGAAATTGCAAGCAACCAAGTTACTCCATCTAGAGGCTTGTCTGACAGTATGGCAGTTGATTATAAAATTAATCCAGAGTTGTTTACAAGCCAGAATAAAGGTAAGAATTATGAACATCAGGGATGGTTAAGAAAATACCATCAAGCAGGTGGCATTCTGAAGAGTAATATGTTCATGGCTCTCTGCCACGCAGCGGAATTAGGATTCCAATAGAAAAGAATATCTAGTTCAGGGATGAACTGTGGAGTTCTTCTTGCACTCTGAGTTTGGTGGTTTGCTTGCAGAAGATTTACTACCCAACTGGGTGATGTCATCAGTACATGTGAGTGTAGGGTTTGCTGCCTTTTTATATTCAGTCTCTTGCTCTGCCATGATGGTGCAGTTTCTTTCTTAGCTCCTTGATTAGAGGATAGCTTTCTGCTTGATTTTCTGGAGCTGATCCCTAATCAGATTCTGGGGAGGATGGTTTTCTTTCTAAGTATTTTAACTGACCCTTTTGAATGGTGTGAATGTGGTTTATCTCTAGTTGCCCAGTTGAAATTCTGACTGAGTCTGTCCAGAGTCAATCCTAATCTCAATGGCAGGACAGGCTATTGAAATGCCTGAAAACAAACACCTAAATTCAGAGAGCACCACATCATAAAGATTGACTGAATTAGGAAAATTAGTAAGAACGTGTTGTGGTTTTTTTTTTTAACTCTTATCATCCCCAAACAAAGCAGAATAGTAAAGGTTTTCCCTCAATGAAAGTGGGTTTTCAAATTGCTTTTTCTGTGTTATCTTCATTGGGTGTTTCTTATAGCCTGCCTTTGTTTTAGAGGAATTCAAGCATATATTGAAAAAATTAAGACGACGGTCTACAATTGGAGCACGAGGTTCTCCAGAAAATAACCATCTCATCCAATATATTGCTCGGCAAAGGAGAATGAAGGTGCAAGAAAATTTGTCACAAGTAAGTGTGGTGGAGTAGGAACATTAAATCTTTTTTTTTTCCAGCAGAGTGCAAAAATGTTTCAGGTCAAAATGAGCAAAGATTAATATCTGGGAAGCAAAAGTCCAGATAACTGCTAGATAGGAAAGAAAAAAGAAATAGATTTTTTGTAGCCCAGATCAGGTAACTCTATCCACGTTGGACATGGATGATACAATCAGATCCAGTTGGGGGGGGGGGGGAATTAGTTCAGCTATTTTGACAAAATGTTTTGGAAGCCTGTGTTTTCACAGAAGTATTGATGCATTTCTGAAATATAGCATAGGCTAAAAGCATCTGATGAGAAGGTCATGCTTTGAAGATTCAATTGCTAGCTTTAACAGGGATCTATTCTGGAGTTTTTATTAAGAGGCAAGTTCGGATATTGATGGATTATTAAACTTTCAGTTTGCCACTGGGTGGCGATGGTGTATTTGCTTCCATGCAGGAAGTCTTTTCCAAGTAGGTGCTGACAGAAGTTAATCCCTTGTTGCTCTGGAACTGAAAGGCATTTCAGAAGTCTTGGTGTATCCAACTGCATTTTATGCTTCACTGGCTGGATTTGGGTTTTGTACAAAGCCATAACTTGGTTCGTTCAATTTTCCCTTAGGATAGCATACGAACCTAATTCTAGAGATCCATATATCAGGGATTACAGTTTAATGTTGTAGCTGAAGCCAGCAAAATGTAGTTTATCAACCGACAATTGTAAAAAAATCTATCTCCCATAAATAAATAAATGCATACATACATACATGTGTGCATTGGTGTATCTGTATATCTAGATAAGGGTCTGTATTATGGCTTCTAATTTAACGTTGAAGATCAGAGGTCTTTTCTGCTTGGCAGACTGTTTGCGGTGGGATGGCGAATGGGGATGGTTTTGCGTTCATGTGCACACTGCTATCACAAACGCAGCTTTGCACGTGTGCATTCACCCACCACTTTTGCGGTCCAGTAACAAGTGGCTGAGGCCTAGTACTAAGTCGTGGACCCAAGGACCCCTGTTGTAGATAAAGCCAGCAAAATATAGCTTATTCAATCAACAATTGTTTAAAATCTACCATAAATGCATGCATACATGCGTATACATATGTATATGTATATAAAGCAGACTTTAAGTAATAATGTGACACTTTAACTGAAATAAAACTTAAATATTTAGATGTGCATAGTGCAAACCCTCTATATTGTTCAAAATAAGTAAATTTGTTTAGAGCAGTGGCCCCCAACCTTTTTTGTGCCACGGCCCGGTACCGGCATCACAAAATGATCCGAAGCCCGGTACTGGCATCAGCACGCATGGCAAGGCGAGCCGAGCGACCGGCCAGCCAGCTGTCCCCCGCTTCTCCCCGCCACCTTCAACTCCTCCTTTGTACCTTTGTCGATGGGCTTCGCTTCGGGACAGCCGCTTGGCTCGCCTTGCCTTGGGTGCTGAAAGAATCCTCGCGCCTTAGTTTCGTTCGAAGCCCCCCCCTTCGATGAAACTAAGGCGCAAGGATTCCTTCAGGACCCAAACGCCGCTTTCCAACTGGAAAAACTCACCCGGAAGCACCTTCTCGTCAAACAAGATGGTGGCGCCCAGCAAACCGGCGGCCCGGTAGGAAATGTTCCACGGACTGGTACCGGTCCACGGCCCGGTGGTTGGGGACCCCTGGTTTAGAGACTTCTCAAGTTTGCCATAATATGGGGAAGTAGAGGAAAACTATTTTATAATATACCTATTTGGATATTTCCTTGTATTTTGAGCAGTCCAGCCCTTGTCAAGATCGGAACACGTTGCTGAAAGACAAAATAGCTGCCTTCCAATCCTCATTTAAAGCCCTCGAAGAAACTGAAGAAAAGGCAGTCCATATTCATTCTACTTGTAAGTAACCCACATCTAATCTCATTTATAAGAAGCATTTTATTATTGAACAAAGAAGATTTGTTAAAGGAGTACAGAATATTTTAACCAAAATGTGCTTTTATCTGGCATTATATATATATATAGTATATGTATATATATGTATATATATATATATATATATATATTGTGTGTGTGTGTGTATGTATGTATGGTATCCTAGATCTGAATGAATGAAATATTAAATACTTTGTTCATTACATAGTTGAATGTGCTGACAACAAACTCACACAAAAATTATCAATGGAAATCAAACTTAGCAACCCATGGAGGTCTCGATTTGGAGTTACACTCAAAATTAAAGTGTAAAAAAACACTACAGGCTGATCCAACTTTGATGTAATGTCCTTAAAACAAGTCAAAATGAGGCTCAGTAGTGTGTGTGGCGTCCATGTGCCTGTATGACCTCCCTACAATGCCTGGGCATGCTCCTGAGGCGGATGGTCTCCTGAGGGATCTCTCACACCTGGACTAAAGCATCCCCCAACTCCTGGACAGTCTGTGGTGCAAGGTGGCATTGGTGGATGGAGCGAGACATGATGTCCCAGATGTGCTCAATTGGATTCAGGTCTGGGGAACGGGTGGGCCAGTCCATAGCATCAATGCCTTCGTCTTGCAGAAACTGCTGACACACTCTAGCCACATGAGGTCTAGCATTGTTGTGCATTAGGAGGAACCCAGGGCCAACCACACCAGCATATGGTCTCACAAGGGGTCTGAGGATCTCATCTCAGTACCTAATGGCAGTCAGGCTACCTCTGGCAAGCACATGGAGGGCTGTGCGGCCCCCTAAAGAAATGCCACCCCACACCATTACTGACCCACTGCCAAACCGGTCATGCTGGAGGATATTGCAGGCAGCAGAACTTTCTCCACGGCATCTCCAGACCGTGTCACATCTGTCACATGTGCTCAGTGTGGACCTGCTTTCATCTGTGAAGAGCACAGGGCGCCAGTGGCGAATCTGCCAATCTTGGTGTTCTCTGCCAAACGTCCTGCACGGTATTGGGCTGTAAGCACAACCCCCACCTGTGGACGTCGGGCCCTCATACCACCCTCATGGAGTCTGTTTCTGACCGTTTGAGCAGCCACATGCACATTTGTGGCCCGCTGGAGGTCATTTTGCAGAGCTCTGGCAGTGCTCCTCCTGTCCCTCCTTGCACAAAGGCGGAGGTAGCGGTCCTGATGCTGGGTTGTTGCCCTCCTACGGCCTCCTCCACATCTCCTGATGTATTGGCCTGTCTCCTGGTAGCACCTCCATGCTCTGGACACTACACTGACAGACACAGCAAACCTTGCCACAGCTCGCATTGATGTGCCATCCTGGATGAGCTGCACTACCTGAGCCACTTGTGTGGGTTGTAGACTCCGTCTCATGCTACCATTAGAGTGAAAGCACTGCCAGCATTCAAAAGTGACCAAACCATCAGCCAGAAAGCATAGGAACTGAGAAGTGGTCTGTTGTCAACACCTGCAGAACCACTCCTTTATTGGGGATGTCTTGCTAACTGCCTCTGTTTTCCACCTGTTGTCTATTCCATTTGCACAACAGCATGTGAAATTGATTGTCAATCGGTGTTGCTACCTAAGTGGACAGTGATTTCACAGAAGTGTGATTGACTTGGAGTTACATTGTGTTGTTTAAGTGTTCCCTTTATTTTTTTGAGCAGTGTATATATATTGGAGGTGAAGGATATTACAGTGAGAAAAACTGAATGATGAGTTGCATAGTAGAAGCTTGTATTGCTGAAAAAACTCAGTCCTTTACAATGAGTATTATTTAGTAATGTTTACACCTGTGTTAAATGCAGCAAACACAAGACTGCACGAGCAATCAACATTGAGCCAGACATGGTCTCCGGAGGATATGAATAATGCTTTTGAAGAAAACTTAACTGATAAATGTATGAACGGAGAAGGTATATCAGTAGATATCCAGATGCACAGTCCCAAATTTCCATCATGGAAGCCTCTTCTGTCTGGCACAAATGTTATGTCTAAGGTATGAATTATAGATATCTCTATAGAGTTAGGTAGAGTTGTATGACTTTGCCAACTGTGTTCCCTATACAATATGTATAGATCAATGTTTTGCCTTGGCAACTTTAAGATATGTGGACTTCAACTCCCAGAATTCCCCAGCCAGTTATGCTGATTGGGGAATTCTGGGAATTGAAGTCCATGTGTCTTAAAGTTACCAAGGTTGAGAAACACTGGTATAGACTCTTAGTAGCTTCAGACTATATAGAACAGTAGTTGCTTTAATGATTGTTTGCCTTTGAATTCATACAATATGCCTATGGAGCTCATCTCATAGGGGCTGACCAATTGATTCCTGCTTATTCTTGCCATACGTTGAGCAGCGCACCTGTTTTGACAGTCTCAGTTATCTTTGAAAGATTACTGATATTTATAAGTAAATGATGCAAGAATTTTACTATATATAAGAAAACACTATTATTATGGTTGTTATTATTATTATTACTATTATTATTACTAGTATTTTATTAATACTTTGTATAAGTAAATTGATCCACGCAATACACTGTTTACTAAGCGCTTATGTATTTTAAAGAAGAAAAATGTATAAATAAAATGTAAAAAATATATATAGTCTCAGTTATTACATGGAATAGACGCGTAGACAATGAATCAGATTTCCTTTTGTTAAGTTTTCCTATGGCCTTCATCTTAGAAGCCAAACAACCACTGGATGGACTGGTAGCACAACAGCCTTTCTATTTCCCCACTCCTAATAATTTTTCTGCATTGTTTTGAATGGCTACATCCCCAAACCCCAAAGGGGTTCATCATCTATTAAAACTAAAATAATGTGTCAGAATAGAAACTTGACTTGTGTGTTCCCAGGCCGTTCTGGTCTCACCAGCGAACGCTGTGGAATCTACAGGTGTGTCTTTGGTAGCTACTCCAAGTACGGGCATATCAAAGAGTGAAAGTGGTAAGAACAAACTTGCATGTTTAGACTTTATTTTAATACAAAAAGGTGTGTAGATTTTCTTTCTGGTTGAAAGCAAAGACAACAATAGTATCCATTTTGATGATGATTGATTTTATAGCAAGTCTCGTTAATTGTGCTTTTGGAATATTGGCCACAAATAGGAAAGTAGTACACAAATAGTTTTGAATTCTGACTTATCTTTGCAAGGTAATGCATCCCACCGATTCTTAGAAACAGCCCCCTTCACAAATATATTCAACAACATCTGCAGTTGTTCCTATCAATATCTTCAGCAATGCCCAATTAGAAATGGCTGCTTAATAACAACGAATTAGTAAATGTTCATGTACAGGTAGTCCTCGACTTACAACCCAGCTGAGACTAGAATTTATGTTGCTAAGCGAGGCATTTGTTACGTGAGTTTTGCCCCATTTTACAACTTTTCTTGCCACAGTTAAGTGAATCACTGCAGTTAAGTTAGTAACATGATTTTTAAGTGAATCTGGCTTTACCATTGACTTTGCTTGCTAGAAGGTCACAAAAGTTGATCACATGACTCTGGGATACTGTAATTGTCATGAGTCAGTTGCCAAGCACCTGGATTTTGATTACGTGACCAATAGGGATGCTGTAATGGTCATGTGAGTCATTTTTTCCCAGTGCCATCGTAACTTCAAAAGGTCACTAAACGGATAGTTGTAAGTTGAGAACTACCTGTATTATGTTACTGCGTGTAGTGATGGAAGCTGTACACTAGATTCGAGTCACCTGAGTCCAAAAGTTGTTTACTGTTATTGAATTTAAATGCAGCATGAAGGCTGATCACAAATTTTTAAGCACTTGTTTATAAGCTGCAGAGCAAAGGGACAACCTTATTTTAGGCAATGGGCCCATGTTCCGTGGAGTTATTTCTGGCTTATTATCATTGAGTAAGTGTTGTCATAATTGCTTGCAATGTGGTTTTTGTTCTACTGTGGAGGTGAAGACAGAGAATTGAGCAGAAACGACACGTCCCAACCTAGCAATAAGAAGGTTCGGTTTTCAGAAAAGCAGAGCTTTGAAATCTTTGATGAAAGCAAACCACCCATTACGCCTGTGGGAAAAGGCCATTCATTTCCCAATTCCCTTCGTTCTGTTCTGAAGAAAACACCAGTCAAAATCGTATCAGAAGGCTTGAAGGTTGGTGTTTTATGGTTAACTATACATTTATTTTCTCTTGCAAATCTTCAGTAAATACCTTGGAACCAATTAAAGAACCTTCATCAGGTCTTTCAATGCTTGAAATGTTACTTTCTTGTTAAAGGATCTTCAAGGATCATCAGGGGAAATGGCCACACCGATATGTACTGGATCTTTTGGCCCTGAAGGTGAAGACGTGTTCCTATATTTTTTACAATTTGTATTTTAGTATCAATCTGGTAGAGAACCAGATTCTAAATATTAATGTTAATACATAAAACCCTAAACAGAATAGGGTCAGGTTTCCTAAGAGTGTGTTATTTTATTTTTTTATTATAGCATACTACCTTGAATTTCTTTGGCAGTTGAAATGGCTAATTGGTTGATTAAATAGGTAACTCTATACGCCTACCAGGGAACTTACCCTCTGCACAATAACTTAAAAACTGCTTTTTGGTGTTGATGTAGAAATAATTTAGCAGCAATACTTGTCTCACAGAATAGCCTCTGCTTTGTGTTGTGCTGTACCATGTGCATACAGTATGTGCCATGTGTGTTTGAGTGCATCAACAAGCCACTTTTGATTCCTGGAGACCATGTGACAAAATTCTGCAGTTCTCTTGGCAAGATGTCAGAAGTGGTTTGCCATTGCCTTTTTCCTAGAGCTTAGAAAGAGTGATTGGCCCAAGGTCACCCAAATGGCTGCATGCCTAAAGTTGGACTAGAACTCACAATTCCCTGGTTTTTAGCCTGGTGCTTTAACCATTACCCCGTATTACCCCTCATGTGTGCCTTAGGCATCTCTTAAAGCTTGTCTTCTTATGCTGTTCTTTCCTAACCATTATCGCTATGTAATGTTTGCATTCTCTTATTTCCTTATTTAATATATATATTATTTTAAACTGCCCTTGGATCTTAAAAATAGTACATGCTTTTATTTATTTATTTTATTTATTTTTATTTATTTGGTTTGTCAATTGCTTACGAGTGAATAGGTATAAGTAAAAACATAGTTATGAACACATGGATACATATAAGAAAAATAAAAAAATAAAAGAAACAATAGGACAGGGACGGTAGGCACGTTGGTGCACTTATGACCATAGTTTTGGCAAGGAGCTGGTCCTGAAAGATTTTTCAAAGATTATGCTTAGAGGTTCGGCTATGGCACTGGATAGCTTTTTTAAGAAGTAGGCACATATTCCGTCCAGTCCAATAGATAGAGATGGTTTTAGATTGCGCAGTACTTTTTCAACATTGTCTTTTGTAAAATCAATATGTATTAGATCGTTGTAGTTGTCTGTGGTTCGACTAGGAAATACTGGGCATGATCCATTGCTGTTTACAAATACTGAGACAAAGAATGTGTTAAAGAGGTTGGCTTTAATGGTGTCGTCATTGCAGTCTTTACCATTTGGTCCTTTCAGGGATGGGATGGACCTTGAGTCTTTTAGTTTGTTGTTTACAAAATTGTAGAAAGCGCGGGTGGAATTGGTGCGTAGAAGGTTTTCTTCTTGTTTAATGTGCATTCAGTCTTTATCTGGTGGCATAAATTTTTGTATCGGCTTCTGAAGTTGGCAACGTGATCAGATTTGTTTTTCCGCCAAAGTGATTTCTTTTTGGATTGAAGCTTCCTTATTGTTATGGGTAATTTGTTTTTTTCTGGTTTTGGGAGTTGTTATTGGTACATATAGTTTGATGACTCTTTTGACTTCAAGTAAAAATATGTTGTAATGGTCTTCTACAGTATTGCATCCAGTGAATAGAAATTGTCAATCAAGGGATGAGAGATCATTGTCTATAAGATCATAGTTACCTTTTTTGAAGTTATAATTGAGGATCACATTGTTGTGTTGATTTTTGTGTGGACGTATGTTGAGACAAAAGTCAATCATGTTGTGGTCACTGTTGGAAAAGGGTTCTTTAATTTGTATTCCGTAAATTGAATTCAAACTATTGCAGAAGATGAGATCAAGGCATTTAATTTAATAAATTTAATTTAATAAACAATTACCATATATCTTGCTGAAATAAGAGCCAAAGATTTGTGCCTAACTTAACTTTTGTTCATCTTTAGAAAGAAAAAATAATTCTCCTGACCACCACGCTCCTTTGATTAGAACTGCTCGAAACTCTGATAAAAGGAAGGTATAAATAAAAAAGGAATATTTCATAAGTTGATTAACAGGCATAAATGAACAGCTTTTCTGGAAGTTTCCATTCACTTTACAGATACTTGTTTTTGAAATACTTATTTTTCACTATGGCTATTTGTCAAATGCTTAATAGATGATAATATGAAATCTATTGCATATCTCTTCTGTTCTGAAAATTCCCAAGTTGTATGGTACTATTTCTGTGCACACTTCGGTTTTTATAGTTCCATATGTAAGCTATAATTTATGTATGGGAGCAGGACCTATTTTTTAATACAGATATTTCCCAATAGTGTGTAGTGAAAGCAAAAAAAAATCTTGCAACCAAAATTGAAGGCCAGAATCAGCTCAGCAAATTGCAGAAAGCCAAAACTTCAACCAAATCCAAAAAAAAACCGGTAAGTAATTTACATTATAGATGTATGTAGTTTAGATTCATTTATTTATTTGTTGTTTGTTTGCTGTCTATCTCTCCTCAAGGCAACTCTCATAGTGGTATTTATGGTGGTTGGCTTCACACATTTTCATAAGTCAGATTTTTTTTAAAAAAAATACATTTGTTAAATACTTTGTTTATTGTATATTTGTTTACATCCCATCTTTATCACTTTTATAAGTAACTCAAGGCAGCAAGTATATCTCATACTCCTTCCTGTTTTCTCCACAACAACAAACCTGTGAAGTGAATTGAAGTCACCTGGCCAGTTTTCATGCCTTAGATTAGGGGTGTCAAACACAAGGTCAGCGATGTGGTCAGATCCAGCCCGCGGGGCTGTCCTGGAAAACGTAAGGGGCCTCTATACACTCGGTCACTTAGCAACCGTTTAAAGTCACAATGGAACCCACCCTTCCCCGCAAGCTACTTATTATGATCTAGTTTCAAAGTCCTGACATTGGGGAGGGGGACCCATACGGTCACTTGATTGCATTTTGGGCAATTTATAACCGGCCCACATTTATAGCCATTTGCACTGCCCTGCCACTTGACCGCGATTTATGATGTTATTGTCAGAAACCACCAGCTATTTCCGATTTAGCAAAAAAAAAAAAAAAAAAAGCACAGCACAGCACATAAGGGGTTCACTTTATGACTGCAACATTCATTTAACCACCACCATAAACAAAGGTCATAGTAATTGCCAGGCTCAATTGTAGTTGTAAGTGGGGAACTACCTGTACCATGTACATGTGTTTATTATCTTCTGTTATTATCTATATCCTTTGCTACAACTCAAGTCAACTGGACTGTACATCATATTAATCCTTATTGTGATAAGGTTGAGAAGAAAGTAAGATAAAAAGCCAAGCCCCTTCATGGCATGATTTCATGTATAAATTTGTTTTCTGAATCCATAACGAAGTGCCTAGAAATATTGGCAATCTTTAGCACTGAATTTATGGAGTTTCTTTCCATTTATTTTCAGGCAGTCCGACCCAAAGCGGCGGGGAAAAGGAGGGGCAGGGGGAAGAAGAAAGAGGAGCAGAAAGTATTTTACGGGCCACGTGAGAGAATATTGAAGAAACCTCTCTTAAGTCCGATCCTAGAAATAACAGAAAATGCCTCCTTTCGTTCCTCTTACCCAAATACACCAACTTTAAATGTTTCCACCTCAGGTATGTAAAGTTACAGGCTGCCTTTCTTCATTTTTTCTTTAACTAGTGGATTAACAAAGCTCCTTTCGTTGCTATGTTAGAATAGATCACAGACAAAGTTAAAATAATGAAACGTCAGAGACGGGAACTAAAATTCTGTCCAATGTGGGTGGACATTATAATTCGTTGCAATTGCAATAGAACTACTGACGACTGTTTAGATATACGATAAATAGTAATGTCTATGTTGTTTTGTCTATCTTTACTTTGGAGCAGAGTTTTTTCAAAATGCACCTTCTTTCTCTTAAGCATCATGGATTTATTTCATTTGGCAATGAAAAGAAAACAAACAAACATGAATTATACCCATACATAATGGAGATTTTGTTATATAAGCAAATCTGTTTCCACCAACAAAGTCTTAGGATGTGTTGGCCAGTCTATTTAAAATAGCTTAGCCATATGCATTACAAGTAGTCCTTGACTTATGATCACAATTAGGACATGAACTTCTGTATTGCTAAGTGACGCAGTTGTAAAAGGGTTTTCAGGTGCCTCGTGATTTCACCCCCCTTTTTTTGATGTGGTCATTAAGCAAACCTGGCTTCCTCTGTTGACCTTTTTAAAAAAAAAAGTTTTATTGTTTTTAAGACAAACTTAGACAAACACAACATAAAAACATCAAGCCATCTTCCATATATATATATACATACAGTGTGTCGGTTGGTTTACAATTGTTTTGTGCTTCCACTTCATAGTCTTCACTTACAATTACATTGTATATGTTCTCGTATTATCAATCAAATATTCCTAAATACATTAATATCATTGTTAATCATTTGACTATACTATTATTCATGCATGTTTTACAAGATAATCCATATTTTACTTAATTTGTTTTATCACCGTTCATATTATCTCAAATCTATCCTATAATCATTTTGTAGATATAATAAAAAAATACATCTTTATATATTCATTATGTTCTAAAAGTCTACATATTTCATTACCATGTTTTATTGTCTAACCATTGATAGAATAGATCCCAAGTCTTATAAAATTGTTTATCTTCTTGTTCTCTGATTTCTAATGTCAATCTACTCATTTCAGCACATTCCAATATTCTCTCAATAACTTCCTCCTATGTTGGTATTTTCTCATTTTTCCAGTTTTTAGCAAATATGATCCTAGCCGCTGTTAATACATTTACAATCAAATATTTCAATTCTTTACTGTATATTTCAGGTAAAATTCCCAATAAAAATATATCTGGTTTCAAGTCTATATGCTTTTTTGTCATTTTTTCCAACCATGTGTGGATTTTGGTCCAATATTTTTTGGCATCCACACACATCCACCACATATGGTAATATGAGCCAGGTATCTGATGACATTTCCAACATTTTTCAGATTTGTTCTTGAACATTCTTGCTATTCTTGTTGGAGGGAAATGCCACCTGTAAAACATACAAATTTTCTTTATATGCTGTTGACATTGTCGTTTTATAATTTTGAGACCACAATTTTTGCCATTTCTCTAGATCAATCCCATATCCGAAATTCTTCCCCCAAGCAATCATTGTTTCTTTGACTTGTTCTTCTTCTAGTTTGATTTCTAATAAATATCCATACAATTTTTTGATCACCTTTTCATCAGTACCTGTCAAAATCTTATCTAAATTAGTCAATTTATCATAGAAACCTTCTGTTTTAGAATCTTTATCATATCTAGAATGTATTTGTGCATATGAAAACCAATTCATCTTTATACCTTGTTCCTCTAATTTTTGCATAGATTGAAGTTCACCCTTTCCATTCAATATTTCACCATATCTAACTGTTTGTTCCTTTTTGTATATTATAGGATAAGAAAATGCTTCAATAGTCGACAGCCAGACTGGAATTTTCAAATAACATTGCCTTTTAGTCTTCTCCCAGTTTAACTACAGAGACTCCCTTATATAGTGCTTTCTAAAATACCCCTGTATTTTAGTTCCTTTATTCCATAAAAAAGCATGCCACCCCAACAACAGATCATGTCCTTCTAATGTCAACAATCTAGCATTTCTTAATGTTATCGATTCCTTAACCCACATCAAATTTGTAGCTTGGTAGTACAACTCCCAATTAGGCAAACCAAATCCTCCTCTTATTCTAGCATCTTGCAAAAGTTTTAATTTTATTCTCGCTTTCTTACCTTGCCATGTATATTTCAACACAATTTTATTTAAATCTTCAAAATAATCTTTTCCAAGCCTAATTGGAATTGTTTGGAACAAATATAAAATTCTGGGTAATATATTCATCTTGATTGTTGATATTCTCCCTATTAATGGCAGTTGTAAATTTTCCCATTTCGCCAAATCTAGCGCTATCTGCTGCTTGAGTTTAATATAGTTATTCTCTTTTAGTGTGCTACATCTTGCTGTCAAGTGTATCCCCAAGTACGATCTTATATGTGACCTGGATTTTCAAAACATCCGCCAATTCTTCCTTTTGTCTTAATAACATATTCTTTGTCAAATCTTTGTTTTGTCTTTACTTATTTTCAAACCAGCCACCTTCCCATATACCTCTATCTTTTCTATCAATTTTAATGCTGTTTCTAGTGGGTCTTCTAAAATGAAAACCAGATCATCTGCGAATGCTTGCAATTTGAATTCTTCCTTTTTAATTTTCATCCCTTTTATATCCTTTTCATCTCTAATATATCTGTTTAGCACTTCCAAGGTTAACACAAACAACAAAGGTGACAGTGGGCACCCTTGTCTTGTTCCTTTTCTTATATCAATAGAGTCCGTCAAATCTCCCTCTATCATTACCTTTGCCGTTTGCTTGTCATATTGCTTGAATAAATTTTTTACCAAAGCCCATCTGTTCCAGCTGTAATAACATAAATCGCCAATTCACATTGTCAAATGCCTTCTGTGCATCTAAGAATATCAAAGCCATTTGTTTTTCAGGATGTGCCTTGTAGTATTCCAGAGTGTCCAAGATTACTCTCATATTGTCTTTAATTTGTCTCTTTGGCAGAAATCTATTTTGATCAGGGTGAATAAAATTATTTAGGTATTTTTTAAGTCTTTCTGCCAATATTGAAGCAAAAATTTTATAATCTGCGTTTAGTAGGGAAATAGGTCTATAGTTCTTGATTTGTAATGGGTCGGCCTCCTCTTTTGGGACAAGTGTAATATAAGCTTCTGACCATGATTTAGGTATCTTCTTCTTTAACATAACTTCATTCATAACTTCTAGCAATGGAAGATTTAACAATTCTTGTAGTATTTTGTAAAATTCCGCTGGAAGTCCATCTGGGCCTGGTGTGTTTCCATTGTTTTGCTTCTTAAGTGCTTCAGTTAACTCCATCATCATTATATTGCTTTCTAACATCATTTCAATCTCTTTAGGTATCTGGGGTAGATTAGCATTCTGTAAGTACTCTTTCATCATCAATATTCTCTTGTGTGTATAGTTTCCCATAATAATCTCGTATAATTTTCTTCTTCTCTTTACTTCCATAACAAACTTGGCCTTGATCATCTATTAACTGCAATATTTTCCTTGATTCTTTCTCCTTTGTCAGTTTATATGCTAACCATCTACCTGGTTTATTTGCATCTTCAAAATAGTTCTGTTTTGCACCTCTGATTTTCTCTGCTAATTCTTCTTTTTCCATTAATCCCATTTTATGTTTAATTATATCCATTTTTAACTTAATGTCCTTTTTCTGTGGCATTTTCTGTAACTCTTTTTCAAGTCGTTTATACTCATCCTCTAATGTCTTAGAGGCTAGTCTTTTCATGGTATTTCTTTTCCTTGTATAGTCTATTATCAAGCCTCTGGCATATGCCTTCATTGTATCCCATACGTTCTGCATTGATGTATCTTCTTTTTTATTTTCTTTAAAGAAAAAAGCCAATTCTTTCTCCATCCTTTGTATGAAGTCTTTTTCTTTTAGTATAGTATTATTTAACGTCTATCTAGATCTTCTTTGTCCTTTCCATTTAATTGTCATTGGGTTATGATCTGTCCAAGTACTTGTTTCAATATTTATTTCTTGGATATTAGCGAACAATTCTGTTGACATCCATATCATATCTATTCT